CTCCATCCCTCTTATTCCTGGGTAAATCTTTTAATATTAATGTTTTTTGGTTTTTTCGTAACCTTCGATGACCGGCTGTTGGGGGGATTTCCCCCCTCCTCCCCCAGGGGGGGGCCTTTTTTTTCGAGGGGGAGCCCCAAAATATTCGTGCCCCTTTTTCCTTTCCAGGATTGAGCCCTCCGAAGGTTTTTCGGAGTCGACACAGCCCCATGGCCCTGAGGGAGAAAGAAGGTTTTTGGACAAAACCCCTTTGTTGGTTTTCTACCCCCCCCCCCCCCCCCCCCTGTGGGCTTGCTGAGGTGTTCTGTACTAATGACATGATTAACTGGAGGAAGCGGAGGAAGGGATGCAAGAGAACTAACTGCCCATACGAATCTCCTCCCTGTTGCAGGGCGTTGAAACATGTTTCCGTGTATATCATTTCCCGGGGGGGTGTTCATCCGCTGGACACTGGCCTGTACATAAGAAGCTGCTCCCCCCCTTGCTGCTGCTCGCGAGATCCATGCTGGAGATTGCCAGTCAGCCAGGCAGCCAACGAGCCAACGAGCCAGAAAAGCAACGAGACGCAAGAAGATGGCTTCACGACCGAATTTCCTTGTGATTGTCGCCGATGACCTGGGCTTCTCGGATGCAGGCTGCTTCGGCGGCGAGATCAAGACACCTCACATCGACAGCATCGCCGGCAACGGAGGAGTGCGATTCACAGACTTCCACGCAGCGGCTGCCTGCTCGCCCACGCGTTCGATGCTGCTCTCTGGCACTGATAACCGTAAATACATGCTGAACCCCTGAACCATTCGCTCCGTATATGCAACGATGACCCCCTAGTGGGATAGAAAGACTGACAGGCAGCCCGCGCGCCCCCTCCACCGTGTAGACATCGCCGGCCTGGGGACGATGAGCGAGAATCAGACCGAGTTCCAGCGCGGCAAGCCTGGGTATGAAGGCTACTTGAACGACCGAGTCGTCGCCCTGTCGGAGCTCTTGCGGGATGCAGGCTACCAAACCCTGATGTCTGGTAAATGGCACTTGGGGCTGGATCCAGATCACACGCCTCATGCACGCGGCTTCGATCGATCATATTCTCTGCTTCCAGTATGCTTTTTCTTTTCTTTTCTTGCATGTTTTTGCGTTTTAGTTAGCTGGCCGCGGTCAGCCTCGTTTCGTTAACTAATGCATGGAGTTCTTCTTTGATATCGGGTGCAGGGAGCAGCAAACCACTATGGCTGGGAACCGCAGCTCCAGAATCCAGACGAGAAAGCTCCCGGCTTGATGTCGCATATGCCGAGCATCTATGTAGAAGACGACAGGCGGATCGACCCCAGCGAGCTGGGGGAGGGTTTCTACTCCAGCGTTGCCTTTACGGACAAGATGCTCGAGTATCTCAGGGGCAAGGACGCAGAGAAGCCCTTCTTTGCCTACCTCCCTTACTCGGCGCCGCACTGGCCCTTGCAGGCTCCCCGGGAGTATATCGATGACTACCGGGGCGTCTACGATGAGGGGCCGGAAGTTCTTCGCCAGAAACGCCTTCGCAAGCTTGAGGAGCTTGGCTTGATACCAGCGGGAACTGCGCCTCACGACGTGGTCGTCGTGGGAAATCGCATGATGTCCAGATTCTGGCACGACCTGACCCCTGAGGAGCGCCGGTTCTCGTCTCGATGCATGGAAGTGTACGCGGCCATGGTCCAGTGTATGGACACCCAGATCGGCCGCGTCCTCGACCAGCTCCGCCAGTCCGGAGACATGGAAAACACCCTCGTCATCTTTATGTCTGACAATGGCGCGGAGGGAGCGCTTCTGGAGGCCCTGCCGGTCGTGCAGAACAATATATTCGAGCATATAGACCAGTACTACGACAACTCCATCGAGAACCTGGGGGCCTACAACTCCTTTATCTGGTACGGCCCTCACTGGGCGTCTGCGGCCACGGCTCCGTCCCGGCTGTATAAGATGTTCACCAGCGAGGGCGGCATACGGGTGCCCCTTATCCTCAATTACCCTCCTCTCACGGCTGGGAAGGCCGGTATAGACCATACCTTTGGCACTGTCATGGATATTGCGCCTACACTTCTTGAGCTTGCGGGTATCAAACACCCTGCCCCGTCTTACAGATCCAGGCCCGTCTACCCCATGCGAGGATCATCGTGGCTACCATATCTCAAGGGAGAACAAACACAGATACACGATGAGGACCATGTTACTAGCTGGGAGCTCTTTGGCCGCCAGGCGGTGCGTCAGGGAGACTGGAAGGCATTGCACATCCCGAAGCCTGTTGGCCCTGGAAAATGGCAGCTGTACAAGCTGAGTGAGGATCCAGGCGAGACAAAGGACCTGGGAGAGCTTTTCCCGGACAAGCTGGCGGCCCTCATTGCTGAATGGAAAAAGTATGAAAAGGATGTAGGCGTCGTTGGAGCCATGCAATACGGAGTGTTGGGTGTAGACGATCAGGATGTAATCCAACAGTGGTGATGCCATATACGTCGACCGTCATTCGCAATATATAACGTTGATATAGATGCATAGCAGTTATTTGGATATACAAATTACATGAATAGTTACTCCGTGGTTATCGGGTCGATTTATGGTTGATTTGGTTACGTTAGTTAGCTTGTAGGGAAAAAAGTAGTCAAATTATTCAACTTTTGACAGCATCTTTTTCATTCAAGCATTTACTTAGAGAGACCATGCAAAGAAGACATACCCGAGCTGTTATTATCCATACGGTAGATGCCCAAGACTGAGGTCAACAGGCCAGATATGAAACTGTCGACTTTCCCGTTCTTGACTGGTGATGAGTTCTCGCAGGCATGTCGGGAATTCATACGCTTGGTGGATGGCTGTGACCGCCAGCTGGAGTCCCTTGGATGGACAAAGGCCAGATTCGATGAAACTGTATGCGAGCTCATCTCGCTACCCAGGCTTGTCTCGTATACGGGTAAAAGCGTTCGTACCTCTGAAACTGGCTAACGAGGATATAGGGCGCTGAACCTGTTTTGGTGGCGAGGAAATATACGGACAGCCAGCCTACAGAGTCTACAGAGACTGAACCAGACGTTGGCGGGGAAAATGCGAATATTGAAGACGAAGAAGATGCGAATATTGCCGATGAAGAAACTATAGAAGATATAGAAGATGACCCTGTTTGACATATCCTCTATATTCATAAACCAAGTCTGACTAAGTCCATGCTAACTCTTTGACAAACAGGAGGCTTTGGTTCGACGGCCAGTTTCTACTCGCAAATGCGAAGTAGAGTATCATGTTATGCTATCCCCAACATATCGGGTCCCTGTGCTATACTTCTTCCTGCCAGGAGGCCCACCGTGCGGACCAAAAGAGCTTCACAACATGTACAACTCGCTAGTTCCAGCACAGTTCAGGTCCGAGTTGAGAGACGTAGGAGTCATGGGAGGCGTAAGCATCACTGTGAGTCTATATCCTGTGCTTCCTTCAAAATTTGGCTTTCTTGCCTTGAAAGGTCAAAGGCTCATCAAAAAACTAATGATAAGAACCACCCTCTGACCGGAATACCGGTATACTTTGTCCACCCATGTGCTACCAGCGAAGCGCTAAAGAGTGTAGCAGGAGACAAGGAGCAGACGACTGAGACATATCTGCTATTATGGATAGGGTTGGTAGGGAATTGCGTCGGGCTAAACGTCCCGCTGGAACTTGTCGCACAAGCAGGAAATTTATAACGGACGCGCGGAGGTGGTTGCTGCTTTTTGATTAGTTACCCTGTCTTTTTTTGTGTATTTTGCCGAGCTGTAGATCTCTGCCCTGAGCATCTGGTTCTTAATAGACCATGTCGTTGCAACAAGGTAATGACCGATTAGTCCTCATCGGAAGATGCTTCCATAGACACGTCACTTTCCTCGTCCATAGGTGCTTCGCCATCACTTTCCTCCTCTCGTGTTCGTTTCACACCCTGTGGTGGTGCTGGCTCGGCAGCCTCGCTATTAGCCGGTTTAGGTGGTATGGAAGTCGTAGCCGTGGCCGCGGAGGGCGGCGCATTAAAAATGGATTTCTGAAGCTCCGTTGATATTCCCTGGTCTTCACTTGGGCCTGATGGATTGTAAGTGCCACGCAACTTGGCAATTATATCTGAGTTTCCTTTGGCATAAACAATTTTCTATAAGAGAAGTCAGCCAGATAACCCCTTTTTAAAAATTGTTATGTTGTTTCAACAAGCCAATTGTTAAAAGCATACCATTTCTTTTCCAAAGAAATCGAAACCTTGGAGCGCCCTCATCGCCTGTGTGCTCGTTTGAACGTCCCTAAACACAATATGTGCTTGTCCGCGCATACCCTTCGATCTCATGGCTACCACATCGAGAACCGCGCCGTATGTAGAGAAAAGGGTGTAGAGAGCCGTCCTCAGATCAGGCTTCTTGATCTTATCTGGGAGGTTTGTGCAGTACAGCCTTTGTTCAAATCAGTTCTCTGCATCGTCACAATAGATAGGGACCTGGGGTTTGCTTTGCTCCCGACTCACGTCTGATTTGGCGCGCCAACGTTGGCAGGTGCAGTGTTCGAGGCCATTGTCAAGAATCAGCAACTAGAATGGCAGTTTGCCTTCCAACCTGCGTATCTATGTAGAGTCAACGCGAGGATCTGTGTTCGACCGGTGCTGTTGCTCTCAGAATCCAACAGTTGCAATGTCGATTTTTCGCTTTGGAGCTCTTCGAAGCTGTGTGGATGAGGAAGAGTCACGTGAAGGCGATATTACATAATCCGCATAGTTACGAGTTCGCGGGGGCTTTTTGGGACAAGAAACAACAAAGACAGAGACGACCACGACGACGTCGAGAAACAGTTGTTGCTGCTTCTATTGTATGGGCTGATTGAAGAGAGCAAGGCGATAGTAGAGAGCTCCTCCTATCGCATTTTGTCTTGACACTATGGCACCCCCCGAAGCCCACCACCTTTTCCACCGGCCGATTGCGGACCACTCGTTCTCGTCGGACAGAGGCACTCTCGCAGTGGCCAAGGACAACGTTGTCGAGCTCTACGAGACCGCAGGCAACAAGTACACCTTGAAAGAGGAGCTTAAAGGCCACGACAAGACCGTTACCAGTGTAGACGTTGCTCCCAAGAGTGGGCAGATCGTGACCTGTTCCCAAGGTATGGATGTAACCTCTATTGGAGGAGCAGCTGCTAAACTATGGATGCAATGATACAGACAGAAATGCCTACGTATGGGAACAAACCGGATCTGGATGGAAACCTACTCTCGTGCTGCTTCGAATTAACCGTGCCGCCACCTTTGTCCGCTGGTCCCCCTCCGAGCAGAAATTCGCAGTTGGATCAGGCGCCCGCGTTGTTGCAGTGTGTTACTTTGAAGAGGAGAATGACTGGTGGATTTCTAAACACCTAAAGAAGCCCATTCGAAGTACCATAACCACTCTTGCATGGCATCCCAACTCCGTCTTCCTCGCAACCGGCTCGACGGACTCACACTGCAGGGTGCTTTCTAGTTACATCAAGGGAATTGACCAGCGCCCGGAACCCAGTGTTTGGGGTGAGAGGGTCCCCTTCAACACCAACTGTGGAGAATACTTGAACGATTCTGCTGGATGGGTCCATGGCTGTGCCTTTTCCCCAAGTGGTGATGCTTTGGCATTTACTTGCCATGACAGCAGCGTTACTGTGGTATATCCATCGGCCCCGGATCAGCCTCCCCGAGCCATGTTGAACATTAGTACGAGATTGCTACCGTTCATGAGCTTGGTTTGGATTAGCGAGAATGAGATAGCCGCAGCTGGCCATGTAAGAGGCTCCCTTTTATGTTTCATTTAACCTTGGGGCTCATGCTGATGATCTAACGACAGGATTGCCAAATCTATCGTCTCAACGGAGATGAAGCTGGCTGGAAGCTGGCTGGATCCCTTGAGGTTAAGGCAGCCACTAGAGGTGCTGTTGCCGAAGAGTCCGCACTCAACAAATTCAGGCAAATGGATTTGAAGGGCAGCACTAAGGATGACTCTAAGCTCCAGAGTGTTCATCAGAACACTATCTCAACTCTTAGGGTCTATTCTGAGGATGGCGGTGCTGTTAAGAAGATCAGCTGTAAGTTTACTACTCGTGCTCGCTATCTTGTCTGAAACTACTAACGGTGACTACAGCTAGCGGTGTCGATGGTAGAGTTGTTATTTGGGATGTGTAATGCTCGATACCATGCATATCTAGAATACCCTCTTGCTAGGTAGAACGACAACGATGACCATACATACTCGTTAGCAAGTCTTTTAACCAAAAATCGGAACATGGAGCCGGTAGAAATAAAGAAGTAGAATTTAAGTTAAGGTTGGATGCGGCTCCGTGATTAGATCAGCTGATGACATCAGCGTGACTTTTTTCTTTCCGTCTCAACTTAGTCGCACTCGATCTTCTCTTTCTCAGCGACGTGATCGAAAAAAACCCAAGAGGCATCACGCTGACGGGCGTTGCACCTATAAAATAGCATCCTCCCTGTGATGGGTTTTGTCCTTTTCCTTCTCAACTCTCTATCCTTGACTCCATAACCATAGCTAGCCATGGCTCGTGTCAGCATTCTTCTCTTAGGTGCTGCGATACTGCACTCGCTTCTACCTACTGTGACTACGGCTGGTCGGGTTGCGCAAGATGATGAGGGGTATAGTGTGCCGTACTTTGAGAATAGCGGACGCCAAGTGTCACAGCCTCTATTTGAGGAACTTAACGAGCTCGCTAATATCGTTGATATAGCGTACTGTGTTGGGAACTGGGGCATAACGAAACCGTTTAGCTGTCCGGGCCTGTGCGAGCAGTTCTCGAACTTTGAGCTAGTGAAGGTAAGCATCTTCTATTTTTGTAAAAAATAATATCCTTTACACTTGGGGAATGGTAGTGTGAATCATTCTGACCTTACTGTGCAGACCTGGAACACAGGCCCTTTGCTTTCCGATTCTTGCGGATACATTGCTCTTTCCCACCCTCCGTCAGCGAAGAGAATCATAGTCTCGTTCAGGGGAACTTATTCTATCGTAAACGCCATAGCAGATCTCTCTGTTGCGCCACAGGTTTACATGCCTTATCCAAACGGAAAGGATCACCCCTATGCAAAATGTGATAACTGTACCGCACACGGTGGTTTCATGCGTTCATGGGAGAATACGCGACCGGAGATAATACCCGATCTTATAGAGGCTATGATGAAGTATCCGGATTATCAGCTAGTTGTCACGGGCCACTCGCTTGGTGGTGCCGTAGCCGCTTTGGGGAGCCTTGAGTTCAAGTTGCGAGGCTGGAATCCTCATGTAACCACATTTGGTGAGCCCCGAATAGGGAACCAGGCACTGGCGGATTATTTCGATAAGGTGTTTGGCCTTAACTCGACGGCCCCTTCGAATGCAGGCCTTGGGTATGATCTTCATCTCCCATACCGCCGCGTAACCCATACCAATGATCCTGTTCCCCTCCTTCCTCCACCTAGTTTGGATTATCGGATGCATTCGGGTGAAATTTTTATCACCAAGGTCGATGTTCCTCCGGCTATCACTGATATGCGTGTCTGTTATGGGCCCACTGACCCAACGTGCATCAGCGAGGAAGAGCAAGAGTATGTCCGCAAGCTTCAGGATGCACTACCGTGGATGCCATCCGATATGCCTAATGATGACCAGAGCCCACTTTATCCCGAGAACGCGGACTCTGAGGTTGATACTGAGATGGTCAAACCGTGGGAGCTTTTCTTTGCCCATCGTGATTACTTCCATCGAGTAGGCGTATGTTTTCCAAATATCTTTGGTTCTCCCGACAAAAGTGATAAGAAATCACCTTGGTGGAAATTCAAATGGCTTTTCCCTGACCATGACAATCTGTGAATGAAGTTATGTCGGGATATTTTTGGATATTTAGGAGTTTTAAGATACCCCATGGTTATATTTTTTTGGAGTCAGAATGGTTTATATATTATATACCCAGGGATTCCTTCGCTGTTCGAGTATAAGTCTAGTTTCATCGTCACTCATTTCTATTTCGTTTAAACTACTTAGGTTAGGCATAGTTCTAGAATATACATCAAAGGTTCATTTCAATACCTATTAGAAAACCAAAATGCAAAATTAATCTGCAACAAAACAGAAAAAGATAAGGCGTTACATCGCTAGAAAGCAAACATGGCAGACGCTTAGCAAGAAAGATAAATGTATCAAAGAAGATCGCCAGCAAATCAACTTGGTATACGAATACATGAATGGTCCCTCCCGCAGTTCTCAAAATAAGACATTTGGCATAATTACCTACCCAATTCCAAGCTAGGAACGATAACAGGGCCAAATTTGACCACATTGCCAAACGAACCTTCTCCCTGTACCAAAAAGTCTACTGCAAGGCTCAATTTCGGAAACGAGCCAGTGGCAGAGTTGTTCGGTGGGTACATGGGGGATTGCATACCACTGTATGCAGCTTGAACGGCATCAGGGTCATATCCAACGATTGCAACGTAGTTTCTTCTGCCCATAAGCTTTCGGTGTTCTCTTGGTTGACCGGAGACATCAGTTTGGAAAAGCTCCATCATGTCCTCCTTTGTATCTGAGATCTGGGCGGTGACTGATCGCTGGCCGTTTGTGGGTATGTAGAGAGGTTTATTATTTCCGTGGAGTAGTTTAAGAATGTACGAAGGGGGAGGAGCATTGACTACTGCGGAAGAAATGATTTGGTACATTGTTTTGTGATCTGTTGGGTGTGAAGGGTCGTGAACGAGTCCAGCTCCGCAGCAATTTACTGCACCAGAGAGGAATGTCATTCTGATACTTCGTTGGTGTGCAATTCCTTGGAGGGTGCGGATGAGATATGTCCTCTCAAGGTCCTGATGGGCAATTGTGTGAGCCATAGTACGGAAAAGATTAATAATAGATATAAGGATGAGCAATCTCTTACCTTCGATTCATGGGTCCATTGGTCTTTCAGCTCATCGAAAAGATCAATTTCACCAAACGGACTCAGCACACTACCCATTAGGCCAGATTTTCCCACAGCCCGTTTAACAGAGTCAAATCCTGAGCCCACCGCACTCTTAGCACCGACAACACCAGCAACAGAGCTCGTGACCCTTCCAAGCATGTTGTAAGCTCCGGTCACAGCCTTTTTGCCGGTAGCAACAGTATGGACGAAATGCTCCGCTGATTCTAGGCGCGGGTAAACCAGAGGTACTGAAACCATCCATATGCAGTGTTGGATACTGGGAGGGAGGGTTGCAACTTTGGGGAAGATGCCTTGGTATGTTGGACCAGCAAGCACTTGGTGAGGGCTTCTCTCGGAGCGGCAGTCAGGACCGACAACCGCAATAGCAGGGCCAAGATATTTAACGAAATGCCAGCCAGTTCCGGTGATAGTAAATAGGTCAGAGTCATCTACGACGTGCCGTAGAATCTCTAGGGTGGTATGATGCTGGAAAAGGAGATACATTTCAATTCCAAGACGGCCAATGTTTTTGAACATGTTTGAAAACTGCATATGGTCGGGGTATGAGCCAAAGCCATCAAAACTAAACAGTGGGTTAGCACATCCTCTACAAATTGTATGGCATCAAACACTTACATGTCATGGTCATCGACCTGAGAAATATGAGGCAGCTGAGCGAAAGCCTCTCTCAAATGGGGCTGGTCAAAATGGCTGGTATAGTAATGGAAATAGGCATGGGTTACATCCTCTTCCAGGGCAGCAGTCCAAGGCGCGGTTTTCCTAGCCTCCTTACCGCTGATAGCAAGCCATTGCTTGAGAGAAGGGACCTCCTTCCACAGCCGGTCAGCGTTGATTTGCCCTCCAAGGCACAGCTGGGCATGAAATCCGCCACATTCAACGTGCTTTTGCATAATATCTTTCCACATGTAGCCCACCCCACCCAAACGAGATCTTTCGTTGGCATTTATGTTCAAAGCAAAGTCATTGCCTGAAGTGGCCACAACCCTCCATGCTGTCTCGTGTCGTCCAGCGACTAAGAATTCGTAACGAGTGCAGCCAAGGTGGGAGGTAATAGCATATGTCCATTTGTGAGACGAGTTGTCATCCATTTGTATGTCAATACTATATTTATAGAATATCCATCGTTGGTGGCTAGCAATGCGCGCTGGTTGAAGCTGTCTTGGGTTTGGCGACAGATCGGTGCTCTTGTGTATATGGATTGTTGGAGGTTGCGATGCATCAGTCACAAGCAAAATCGAGCCCAGCCAAAGGCCTCGCTCCATATCCATGTTGGTATACCGCAAGTAAGGACCGAAATATACACCGTTCGTGGGAGCAACTTTATACATTTCTACACCGCTTGCAGGTGGTGGTCCTACAAAGCCACTGTTCATTCCCATAACACTTCCTTCGTATCCAGGAGTCATCGGCAAACCTGGGGAAGGCATAGGCTGACCAAAGGCGGACAGGGCGGGAGATGCTAACGGTTGTCCAAATGCAGATAGAGCTGGAGAGGCCAAGGGCTTTGCAAAGGAGAGTCCAGGAGATGTCAATCCGTGTCCACCAAATGTGCTGTGGCCAGGAGACATGGGTGTCTCATTTAGATTAAGCGGCGTGGGACCCTTGGGGAATTCCCACTGAGTGGACTGTGTGGGCAAATGAATGTAGTAGTATTGACCAGAATTGGGGTCCAAGTGGGCTATCCAACCTTCTGGAAGTGGAGGCGGAGAAGCTGGCCCAGGTCCAGGATGTGCCGAAGAAGGCTCGCTCTGCTTCGATGAGGATGGAAACGCAGATGGCCCGGCTTGGAAGTTGTGCTGGCTTGGAGTTCCGGTATGTGCTTGACGGGTGTCGTTTGCAAAAGCAGGATGGCTTTGTATTGATGGCTGCGATCCAGCTACAGATGGAGGGCCACTGGCCGCTACGGACCCAGCGATAGGTGGATATTGGGTGGTGGGCCCACCATGCTTTTCTTGAGGGTATGCCATATTCTGTCCGCCCATTACACTTGAGTATGCTGGCGGCGGGGACGCGGTCATATTCAGTCTTTGGAAATCATCCTCCAGTTGGCCCTGCGGATTATTATTAAGATTGTGGTTATTATTAATAGTGGCAGTACTCGTAGGAGCCGTGACGGCTGTAGTGATAGGTTGTGGTGGCCTGGAGACTTGGCTAGAGGGTCCTTCGGTCACTGGGACTGGAGTGACGTCCGAATCACCTTGATAGATTCTTGGAGGACCATGGGGCTCAGTTCCTGGTTGTTCAGTTGGCGTCCATGGACGCGGTGGTGCAACTGCAGCGTGCTGTACAGTTGGAGGATTGCTTCTTCCTGGAATACCGCTGTATTGTTGCGCTCTTTGCTGTGCCGCATGATTGTGAGCATGAATGCTGCTGAGAGTTGCTGCGCCGGCAATTCCAGAAGCGGCGTAGCGGGCCTCAATATCCGAACTCGGCTGTTGCCCAGGGCCAACTATCGGGGTTTCTGGTGGCGGAGGGGAGCCACGCTGGGCCTTTGTAGTAGAAGTGGAAGCAGTCGAATCGATTCGGTTTATAGAACTAGTTGGCGCTTGAAGATTGCTAGAGGATGGAACAGACTGTGTAGGAGGAGGCCAATACTGCTGGTGGTATTCCGGGTATGGATTCACAACAACTGATGGATTGTTGTTCTGGGTAGAAGCACTAGGCTGTTGAGGAGCGGCTCTTTGAGGAAGACGCTGAAAGAGGCCTTCCTTGTCAGGGCTCTCGGCTGTTGGCGATTCCAGCTGTTTTGGCGCAGCGGCACCCCTTCTCTCCGCAAGGCTGGACTGGGCTTGCTTGGGATCACGTCTATCCTGCGGTTTTAGGGCTGCAGGTATATCGGCATTACTGGACTCTGGTGAAGAGAGTGAGACAGGCGAGTAGGTCGTTTGGCTGGGCTTCCTCGAGTCGCTCTGCTGAGAGCTGTTGTTCTGATTCCATGATTGATCCTGTGTCCTTCGGTTGTCAGGATATGGCAGCGGAGATACCGATGGCTGAGTAGTACCCTGACGGTCTGGTTGGGGGTTTGACGAGCTGCTGGGAGCAGGTGAAGGAGTGCCTCGTTTTGCAACTCGAAGAGGCGAGACAATCGGCTGTTCATGGTTAGAAGGCGAGTTTAGGAACATCTCGTCCCCTTCTTTGCCGGTATTGTGACTAGAGCTCATTGTGCTCGTCTCAGAGAGTCATCGAGGCAAGCAGTTTATGCAGCCTTATCACACTCCGGCGCAAAGCAACCCCTTCTGATAATAAATGTAAACTGCCAGCTGCTGCTGCCACGGTTCGGCGGGGAAAAACAGTCCCACGTTAGTTAACTAAAGTGGGGAGAAGAAGGCTTGATGCTGGATGAGAATGTCAAGTCACTTTGTATATAATTGATTATCTTGAAAATGATGAAGAAAGGAGGAGGAGGGTTGTATGCCGGAATATCAGTGACAGCCCTCAGCTCGACGAAGAAATTCTCCCTCAACTCTGTCCCTCCCTCCCCTCGAGCTTCGTGTGATAGACGGCCAAGTTAACGCCAAGGGTAAAAGCTGGCGGCTACACAGGCCGCACAGGAGATGATTGGGTCCTCGCCGGGAGATTGATCATGGCCCAACGTGAAACCTGACGACTTGCATCTGAGGACAGCGATTGGCCCAGAGAAGGGGCCGTCAGCCACCAGCGGGCCACGCATCGAAGTCGCAAGCCCCCTTCATTCGTCGGCCATTCAGGAGCAGGCCGTCTTAGCGCCGGGAACCCTGCAGACATTTAGCATGCACGTTCAACAATGCAATGTTGGAAGATCAAAACTGCGAAGAAGAATGTCAGCGGCTTTTCAGTCGGAGTCAAGGTAGACGTTGAGCACTTCCTAATCGGGACAAATAACTGCAGAAACGCTCACAGTAACTGTCGAAGGACTCTTATATTCCTTTCTCCTGCTTCGATGGGCGTTATTCCCATTCGGAGAGATTGCAAGTTCCGTTGATTCGCTGGTACCTAGTGTTGGTAGATGGAGTTTTTCCGGATGCCATCGAACCTTGAAAGTGACCAAAGTCGTTAACTCGTTCCCTAGTCAGTGGCTGAAGAGATAACTACCTGGATGAACATTGAATGACCATACAAAAAGATCACATCAACCAGCCAGTCTCGGCCACACAAACTGTGCGAGAAGCACAAGCCATTCTTTCTGAGTTAGTTGAGCTGTCGATACGATAGGCCGATAGCGTCTTTTCACGTGCACGACATAGCATCCCTCAGCAGCGTTTCGGACATACGATGGCTCTGCAGTTCGTTTCGAGTGCTCATATAGGGCAGTGTCCCTGACTGCTGGTCAGGCCCTGCTTTCTTGTTCCTTTAGTACGGTGCAGTCTCTTGCATGAATTCCAGAGACAATGTCCAACGGCCTTGATTGAAGCCGAGCTTATACATTCCTCGTCCGCTCTAGCGAGAAGAGGTCTTGGACGGGCAATCGGCTTATGTGTACTGGCTGGCAATGGTCTAGGTGGACTTGGCCTAAATGAGGTCTTGGAGCGATAACTTATATTGTGAAATGATGCCAAGTCGACAGCCATCGAGGCCCTGAGGAGTTAGAGAGTCTGGGACATTTAGTTAGATGTTTGGTTTGCAGCAATTAAGGTCCAGACACAAGTGGAGGCCTAAAGGTTCGAGATTGGAACATATTCAATGAACAATAATGAATAAACCATGAAAACAAAGGAATGTTATACAAAAACAGAGTCCAAAAATGCTTCGCTCCCATGCCCAAAATTACTAGTAATTCAAAACAGGCACCGCTAACACCAATTGTGCACAAATGCTATCAGAGACTCAAAGGGGAATAAGTCAATTAAAATCACAAATAGGAAAGGAAAGGATGAGATATCGGTTATAAACCAAAGTTAACCAACTGTAGTCCCTGTTTAGCCATGACATCAAGCCAGTCAACGTCAAATGTATGACCACATCTCAAATAGGCGTTTGTTTGATGCTGATATACCGTCTGCAATAACTGACGAGTAGTGGCAACATTACGACCAACTCCATCGTTTGCTTCGAAATTAGACAGTATATCGAGTGCTATCATCTTATGGGTAGGCGAAGTAGCGACTACTCCAGCAATGAAGGTAGGGAATATGATAAATCGAAGATCGTACCTGCCCATGCTAGTGATCTCATTGGCAGTGGAGAGGATAGCCGATATACGTTGGTCAATGTCCAAGGCGGATAACGTACTGGTCTCCGCGGCTTGGTTGGGCCACATGCTGATATAGGAATATATCATGCAGCTATTGAAGAGTGTTGAGCACTAAATTAGAAAAGGACATTAGTATGGTTTGAAGTTACAAATCCAGGCAGGCGAAAATTTTGAGAAGATAGAATTGAAATAAAACAAAACGCAGATGGGGCTGTTCACATAAATGGAAGAGATGGTGTGGAAAGTGGAACGTACATGTTGAAATACCTCCTTTGAACGGGGAGGCAATTGATGCACTTGTTGCTGGAATAAAGATACTCGGGGTGTTGTCCATAGCTGGATGAAAGACTGCTGGATATCAAAAAGTCGCTTCTCTTTGGCGGCGCGGCCCAGCAAAGTGCAGCCGATTGACCCGTCTGGGAAAGTCTGGGATATAGCATCTCGTCGGCAGTCCGCAGCAAGGATACCAAGTCTGATAGCAAGGATAAAGGTATCTCGATTTAGACGAAGCATCACTGGGAGAGTGTGCTCTTCTCCGGGGAAGATTATGCTTTTTCCATCTTCGCCGATAGGGTATAGCTGTGACAGGGCGGCGGGTATCATATCGTGAGCTAGTAAGTTACGCACAAAGTCACCCGTACCAGCTCCGCTGAACAATGCATATAGGTCAATCCAACAGATCCACCAAACGACAAAAGGAAATGGCTCTTTTTGCAATATTGCACCTCTCATATAGCAGATTCGTATTAATCTTTGGATATGATGGGACCACAGATTTGAACCGCCTGGTTCTGCAGCAGCAATCTAAACAAGAAATAAATGTAAGTGCATCGAAGTTGGCCAAGGGGGAAAATAGAGTGGGATGTACGTACCTCATATATTAAGAGAAGAAAATGTGTCAAAAATACTCCATCTGACGAGAGATCCTGATGACTTCTCATACTTGTTTGGAGGAATGGAAGTGTTTTTTGGTAGTGCTGTAGTGAATCTATGCTCTTCGATGGATCCTGGCGAGATAAACTTAAGGCAGAAACGGCCATCATTGCATGGAAAAGCTACTCAGAAAAAAAGAGCATTAGTTATCGGTGTTGCTATATGGGATAAGGATTTTTTTTAAAAAAACTCACAGGTAGGAAGTTGGCTGCTTCCTTTTCAAAGATATCAGCCCCAGGCATGTTGATGTGACTAGCATGTAAATGGTTATGTCCGAGCGCAGCTTGAACGAGGTGCTTCCATACAACCCCTCTGAAATGGCTCAGTAACTTTGCATCCTCCAAATGGCCGGTGGATCCAATAAATATCGGGTGTTTTGGTTTATTTGCGTCCTTTAGGTGGCTATCCTCATAATCTTCAGGTGATTTGGATCTAGAAGTCACAGTCAGTGGGGATGACCGCATTGATTTCCAGTAGCTTGTATTTAACGCCATGGAGTCTTCAAATTTCGCCAATATCACCACATTCGGGTCTGACGATTCTGTGGATGACCGAGGCCGAGACTTGGAAGTATTTCGTTTATGGGAAGCAGATTGGGAAGGCCTGACAGTCTTTTTAATTGGAGGGAGTTCGTCTTGGGAATCTTCACTGTCGTCTGTGAGATTTGCGAAGCTATCAGGGTTGACCACGACGTGGTACGTTCCAGGGAGATAACACTCCGCTTTCATTTCCCGCTCTATATCGGTAGTCAATGATGCAAAGGGAGGGAGGATATCATCGCTAGTCGAGCTGGTAGTTGAGCCGGAGCTTCCTTCCGAGGGTGATGATGACGATGCTTATCTGGAGTGTTAGTCGCAATATCAACTAGATAACAGAAGATCGAGCGTACAGTCCCAAACGGCATTTCCAGATATAGAAACATCTTGCATCCTTTCCATGACCTTCAACGTATCGTCTCGGAATGAAAGCCTCGGACTATAGTCACATTCATGACCCAACCGGGTACATTGCTATGAATTTGATTAGGACAAGTATAACAGATAAAAGAATGTTGCAAGGGCACGTACACCACACCTTGGATGGCCTTCGTCACATTTTACTAGATAGAAAGTCAGTAACTGTGGATGAGGATACAGGCTGTCGCAGCTCCTTACCTTTTCGCGCCTGTGGATGGAATACAAAAACCAGAAAAATGAGCATTTCTGAGGTTTATTTACGTAGTGAAAGGAATCAACAGGGTGATAGTTACCCTACAAGTCCTGAAGTTGCAGAAAATGGTTAGAAAAAGTCGGTTAATTGCTACATGCAAAATACAACGGGGTTCAGATCCTGCTTACCAGCAGCCTGTTTTTGACCTTGGAGGTAAACGTACCCTTGTCGGCATTTTAAGCTTAGAGGGTTCCAGGTCCCATCCCCTGTCTAAACTTGACAACTTGGGCATGCCATATTTTGGAGCGATTGGCGGCAGTGACTGAGTATGTTTTGTTGAAGCCATATTGAAGAAATCGTTTTCCCCCTCTATTGAAACGGACTCAATTGGATTGACGTAACTGCTGTCAGGCTGTAAATGGCTGGGTCAACTAGTGCAAAGGAGGCGTATGATTTCGAGCACTGTAAGTGAAAGTGGCTTTGGAATTGTGCATATAACGGTAATTTTTTTAAATATGGATGTCAGCCTTCCTGCGAGGTGGCCACTTAACGGCTTAGCGGCGCCAGTCGATTGTTCAAAGACGACGGTATCATGAAAAATCAGATACAGACCTGATAAATGCCATCGAGGGAATAAATTGCGTAAGAAGGTAAAAAGGACAAAAAAATGAGGATATGGATGTGGCGTTGAGACTCCTTCAAATATGTCAACTGTCAGGAGGCAGAGCAGCATAAGTTTAGAACACTTCCGTAATAGCCATGATAATCACAAAAAAATCCCACTAGTTGATGTTGTAGCATAATTTGGATGCCCCCGGCGGCGTCCGTTGGTGTACGGAGGGAATGGCTGGATGTTTTGGGGTTGTAGCTTACAGGTTGACCTGTAGACCAAGCGGACCATATTGGCCTTAACCCACAAGCTAATCGCCAGCGAAACGCGCTTACGAGCTAAGCATCCGAATAAATATGCAAGGTAGCTTTGAACCTGGGGTATTTTGCTCTCTGTAGTCGTGAGAGCCTTGCATACGCTGTGCCAAGCGGCAATCTCAGGACATACAGTAAAAGTTAACTGAACAGAAGCGAACAGAGCCGATAGCATTCTAGAACTTAGCCTTTACCAAGGAGAAATGCTTCTTCGCTCTGATTCTTACTTGAGGTTCCATCAGTAGGACCGAGTGATGGTAAAAGAAATATCCGCTGGTTTGAATGAAAAGAATACGAGCAGCCAAGTGTGCTGCACTTCGCAAGCTCGTCCTAAAAAGTCATGCAAGGGCACCCAGACTCGCTCGCTACCATCTTCGGGACCTGGTCATGATTGACTGGAGGAAGGGGGGCTTCGTCCATTCTGGACTGCAGCTGGGAAGCCCTTGCGTCCGTATGCCCGTAGAAGAGAATCGCACTAGTTTCCCTCCGTCTTGGAGAGGTGACTCTTCACCACAGCCCTGTTTCGCGGATGCTCTGTATGGCTCCATCATTATGCGGGCAGTCACAGCTTTTGGGCTGCAGAGCCAGGGTAATTTTGGGCGAGCAAGGAGCAAATCCGGTCTCTTTGCTCTCAAGCTTTCATACGCACGATCGTCACGGCCAGGCCATGAGCCAGCTCCTTCGGCGCACCAGACAGCCGGTAGAAAGTTCTACAAAGCGTAGAGATGCGTCGGGCTCCGGCTGGATATCCCGATGGATTAACCCAGTCGTCTGATCTGTTGTTTCACTTGGCAGATGGCGGCCAAATGGTGGAATCTCGGACTGCAGAGCAGAGGAGGAAGACGTTGTCGTTGGAACAACCAAAACGGACATTTTTACTCAGCGGCGTCCCGTGATCTACAGGAGGTTCCAATCTTGATCGTGATAACGTCAAGCAACATTGACAGGTCAAGTTTTACGATATGACTTCTATGAAACCCTCAGGGAATACTCCGTGTATGAGAAAGGGTCTAGGAACAAGCGCTGGTTGTGTATATTTTTGGGTAGCAAGCATGGCAACTCCGAGACACATGGCCGTTCTGCAATACGGCGCTATTTACTCCGGAGAACTCTGCATGCAGCTCGTTAGACAGCATTAGCTACTCCTAAACAAGAGGATAGCTGCATTAGATTTGGCAGGAGAATAGTCTGCTGCCTTGGCCAGTTGATGAACAACTGCATCGGAATCAGTTATCAGTCATATGGTGTTATTGTGAGTTGATGATGCCCTGCCCCCAACACTCGGTAGGCTGATACTAGTTACATCTGCTCAAGAATCTCGTGCCAGACAACTTTAACTGTTTCGGACCGCTCATTGGCCTTCCACTTCTCGATCACACATTTCTGGGAGCTGTCGAGTGACAAAGAACTCTTCTTCAAGATTTTGACGTACGCCAAAACTGCCTGGGCAAATTTGCTCCTCACACTCTCGATGGGTAGGTCGATGTCCTGGAACAAAAACTCATGTTCTTTGAACAGAGTTGATACAAGTTCCTTGTCTAGAGACATAGATGTCGAGTCACTATCCCCCTTCCCGCCACTGGGGAGGCGTTCATCCACGCGATTGAAAAGGTCCTTGACGCAATCAAATAAAGTAGGGTATACGGATCTTCCGGAATGTGTAATTACCGGCTTGATTACGGAGGACATACCAGCCACATAACGACCGAGAACTATTGGATAAAGTTGACATGAGCCACCGGCTGTGATGCTTTATGCCTGGGATATGGACGTACCTGACGGTGAAATGTTGGGGTTTGCAACATTATACAGACACTCTATCCCTGCAATAAATGTTTTGTCTTCAATGCTACACCAGTAATAAGATCATTAGCACGTATAAGCGTGACGGTAATACGCAGAAGGAACTTACTTTGGTACTCGGCTGTCTTTCGAATCGATATCCATCTTATCACCCTTTACTTCTTCGATCATCTCCTCAAAAACAGGGGATACTATAGCAAGGGTTTCTTTCGTCATGTCAAGATCCTCTAGATTCCTAGCAAACTGTCCAAGCCCTTTTAGTCCATGGGGCCTGTAGTCAACATTCTTCCGTTTGGCCTCTCGGATGACAATGGTCTAAAATATTCCAGTCAATAAATGATCCTTCCGAGAATTGCCTGATGCCTCTACTAACCTTCATGCGATCCTTGATGTCACTTCGCCCCTTCAAGAATGCCTTGGAAAGACTCGAAAACTTAACAAGAGCCTCCAGAACTTTGTCTTTCCCGTCCCAAGTTTTCCCTTCAAGTGCCTTTTCAAGGTGTGGCCAGAGAGATCTCGCCGTTGGAATATCCATATTCTTGTCATTGGAAAGGACTGCTTTGGCGACAGAAAGAGCAGATGCGTGCTTGATTGGCCATTGGGGAGAATCCAACTTGGTCGAGACAAGGTCGAGTATTTCATCAAGGTACAACGAAATAACTCTGGAGCCGCTCACATTATCATTCCATGTCTTGGTAAAGAACTCCTTAACCTCATCTGTAGTGTCATGCATCCCAAGAAATATAAAGGGTAGGAAGGCCGCTGCAACTGCTTGAACTCTATCGTTCGCCAATTTGGACATGGAATTCATGATTTCACCGGCAACAATGCGGTGTGCTGTATCTTCCGATTCGAAATAGAGAGATTTTGCAAATTTGATGGTATCCAGGACATCTTCATTGCTAGCCAAGCGAGTAAGGTAACCGATAGCAGAACTGTAAGATGCGCTGACTGTTTCATTCCTGTCTAACACCAGTTTCCTCAAAATACGGATAAACCGAGCTGCGTAAGGCTTTAATAGTACTTGCTTAGAACTGAGAATTACTAAGACTCTGCTGCAGCCCACTTTTGACGGGAGGCCTATTGCAGAGCGTATTGAAGCCTCTAAAGCAGGTACCACTTCAGCCATACTCGCATCGTCGAGTGAATCGAGGAGATGAAGCTCGATACATTCCATCATGGGTGAGCTCCGGATAGCGGTTAACCTCATTTTGTCAATAGCCTGGCCCGTTAATCCATATTTATCAGCATTCAGGTGGACGTAGTTAACAGCCTGAGGTTCTATCGACGTGAGCGATGTGAGAAGTCGCTCCAGAATAAGGGCTGCAAAAGGCCTAATCAATGGTCCTGGCGTTTTCTTGACGATCTTCGTGATGGTCATGATCGAATATTTCTGGACCCCTTCCACACTGGACTCGATACCTTCACGGCCAAGCAGGAATGGAATAATATGTTTTAGCATGAGTTTTGCTCGTTTCGATGAGGTGGCACCACTCTCCATAGCACGTAAAACAATCTCACTAAGGGTTTGACATAATGACATCGCCGCCTGCCGTACGGTTGACTTGATATCGTCAAGAACTTTGAATGATTTTGTGAGGATTTCGCTCAAGAACTTATCATACTTTTCGATTTGGCAACCCTGGAGTAAGGAGGCAATACCAGCACAGGCAGCTTGTCTCACCCGCCATTGTTTCCCATCCACAACACTTCGTAGGAGATCTTCCATAATTGCATCAAAATTGGTGTCTATGACTGCATTTGGATCTTTAACGAGGGCATTCCATATATCATTCATCGATCTTTGCACATTGGGATTCGGATCGAATCGATATCTATATAATTTTGGGTATAGCTTTGGATTTTGAGAAAGATATCCGTTTTCACTGGAGTCGGACAGAACATTGCTGAGACCAAAACGGCCAAAGGCGGCACGACTCGACCATATAGCGCTATTAGAAGCTAGTGACATGAAGCGATAGACCAGGCTCGGATCACCGACTTCAGATGCAAGGCCGACAATGTCTTTATATGTGGTAATTGAACCGTCACCAGTGGGTAGGGCTCCCGGCTCAAACAATTCCGTTTCTTCAGATATCTTCCCGCCCCCCATATTAGAGCTGTCAGCGGTGAAAGATCGCACAAGGTCACGAACTAAGTCATCTTTGAGGTTTTGGCTTCCCAGTTCGTATACCAGTGATAAGCCTCTTGAAGACGATTCTTGGACGGTTTCGTCCTTATCAGAAAGCAGCCAGATAAATGTTTGCTGGCATTTCCAGAGGCGGGACTGGAGCTCCTCATTTCGACCGCAATATTGTATAAGGCAGAGAAGCCATATGACTGACGCTTTTCTCAATGACGGTTTGGATGCTTTACAATCGCCCATGACCTTTTCAAGGATCTTAGAGAGCACGTAGGAGGGAATGTCCGAAGAAGGCTTATCAACGTCTACATCTAAAGAGGATGTTAGGGAAGTCGATTGCCAGCCTTCTGCCACTATGCTAAGGGCTTCGCCGATGGCGAACTGTACTTCTATCACTTTCACTTCGTGTAGAGAATAAAACAAATTGAGCAGTTGGTCTACCTTGGTAGACCCGGTATCACCTTTTGGGATAATTAGGGATAAGCGTCCAAGAGCAGTTATCGCAGGTTCGCTATGCTTTTTAGCATCAGTGGAGATAGATTCGATAATTGCCTCCCACTTATCACCCTGGAGGTCACCCAGAGTAATGGCAGATGAAAGGCTGAGCTGTCCAATGACATCATAAGCTGCTTTCTTAAGTGCAGAATCTCGAGAGCCTTTCAATATATCGAGGGCTGTATCTAAGCACTCTTGTGATTTTTCGTGCAGTTCCTGTACCTGAGCGCCACGAATTCGTAGTCGGGAGAGCATGTATGCTTGGCCTAGTAGGGCTCCACGAGCCTTGTATACTGCAGTACCGACAGCGGCCTGCCAACTAGTAGCATGGGGGGACAAAGTCTCCCATGCTTGGCCCCTACGTGCCTGAGGACAGCTGGGGTGGCTTATCAAGATGCCGAAGGCTTGAGCAGCTGTGTCTTGTTGTGGAGGTGCTCTCTTGAGCAAGGTGTCTATTAGGGCCTGACTGTGGTTTACTAGAGGTTGAAGGAGTTTGTTGGAGGTGAGAGAGGCAATTTCAATGAAATGAGCGGCTGACCGGCCAGAGGACTGCCCAGAGTTTGAGAACAGCCCCTTTAGACAAGCATTCAGGAGCAGCGGAAGAACATCGTCACATTCTGCAAGATATACCTTAACGGAAGCTCGAGCTTCCTTGTTGTTCGAAAGAACATTGTCGAGACGCTGCTCCCAGTTGTGCTCTATGTCTTGAATCGCATCGGTATTCACTAGAGCTTCACAAAGCAGTAAATTTCGAAGATATGTGATAGCAGTTTCGTAAACAACGGTGTACTTCTCAGAAGCGAAGATTGACCAAAGAGCTCGACGGAGAATATTATTTTCTTCAGTGTCTTCCTCAAACAGATACTTCGCCAGTTCCTTGAATCGCGGAAAGACATATCGTCTATCCTCAGCGACTGGAGCTGCTATGTTATCACATGGATTCAACATGCGATACCAGTAAGGATCGAGCCCTTTCCTTCCCTCTTCTGCAATTTCAAGTCCACCATCTTGCCCGTCAGCAATGGCCAGCAGATCAATAGACCTGCCACAGATGTCATTGTATGGCATACAACGGTTGGAAAAACGGACAGCAGCAAACCGCGTACTCCTCACAATATTGAACCCAGTTATTTTATCTCTTGATCCGGGTTCAATAGTGGCAAACCTGGTTAAAATAGGGCGAATTTGGTCTATTGAGTTCTGATCCAAGTTTTTGGTTATAGAGTTGAGAACTCCACCAAGGGCCTCATCGATGCTGACAAAAATCTGAGGGCCAGAGGCGTCACAGCTTAGGGAAGTAAACATCCACTCTAGCAAGTTAATATCAATAGGATTTTTGTTTTCTCTAGTTAAAGATGGATCGACCTTCGGGGCAAGCAACCCTATAGACTCATAAGCGAGAGTCCTAGAGCTAAATTCGGCAGGTTTTAAAGGCCAGCTGGTGGTTGGCCAGCCTTGACCCTCGACCATTTCCCTCAGGGCTTTGATTATGTTTGGCGCAACCAAATTTAAGTCTGAAGGCGCCCCCATCCTCGTCAACCAGGTGACAAAAGAGAAAATTTGCTGCCGTAGTTTGGATACTTCTAGCCCTCTGGCTCCACCAAAGCTGTCGGAGGTAAGGGCATCATTAAGGATTCGGATGATATGCTGAGTTTTGGTAGTTGCCTGAACCGATTTACTCAAAAAGTGAAGAATTTTCATTTTCAATGCAGGGCGGGCGGGTAGGGCACCGCCAGCCTCTGTCGAGCCTAGATAAAGAGAAAATAGCCGATCAACTACATGATCAGACTCCAAATCTGGGCGGAATCGTTTCAGGATGTCATCTCCAATGTCCGAGACTCGTGCGTTGGGATCCGCAGTTGCAATCAATGCAGGAATGAACCGGTCAGAGTCATTGAAAGCACCGCTATTTATGAATTTTAAAGCGGCCACTTTTGTGTCTAGGATATTTAAGCCTCCGGGAGCTGTTGGATCCCAAGTTGCACCATCTGAAGACTGGCGACTTAAAAATCTTATTTCTGCCATAGATAAACCTGGGCAAGCCTCTATTGTGGGTGTCAGAAGAAGTAATTTTCCAAACCAGGATGAGAGATATGTGCTGTCTCCCGGCAGAAGCTTCATGCTTTTTCCTAAGTCTAAATCCTCCCTGCTTCCCTTAGGTGGTAGCTTTATAAGGGGTAGTAGCTTCAGTATCAAGTTAAACAGAATAGAAGCTTGAGCTTCGGAACCATTGAACTGGGATATTCCATGAAGCAAGGACGGTAGAAGAGTTAGACTTGTAGGGCCCATTCGATTAAGTCCATGTCGGATGTAGATCAGATCGAAGTGTCTGATAAGGGAATTATCGGCTTCCTTGAATTGCTTCAGTAAGGCCTCAACCGGAAGAGCGATGGATTGAGATTGGACCCTGGTATTTATATGCTGGCATAGAGACACAACCTTGTTTCGGACAGAGGCATTCTCAGATGCAAGTTTCAGTAGTAATGGTGCAAGATATGTATGAAGAAGGGATTGAAGTTTTGAATCTGAGTCTGCAAGAGCAACACGTAGTTCCAACTTGGACACAAGTGAAAGCTCCCTTTCTTCTGTGCTTTCCACCATGGTTATCGATGGTTATCGAGTGGCTGCCGAAAATTTGGTAATGTAGGAGCAGGCTTGTCTTCTTTAGTAGGTTCACTCGGTTTCTATCAGTATATTGGTTTTACCAGGCAGATGTCACTATATCCCATCTTCACATTTTCCAAGGCAACCAGAAGCTGGCGTGTTCTTGTTTGTAAGTTTGACGTTGGGTCAAGGTTAATTGGCTTAGTAACTCGAATATTCGCGCGTTTGGCGTCTAATAAGCGCCCTTATCGATTGTGGTATTACATAAGCGATAATCAAACTCTGTTCCTGGAATCTTTTCTTTCTTTTTTTTTTTTTTTTATCTGAGCGAGGAGGATAAGAAATTTGACCAGCGCGTTGACGAAGAGCCAGCGAGCTCGATGCGTTCCTTGTACCCTTATTCCCACATATTTTGATCTTATAATACTAGATAACATGTCCTTAATCTTCACTCTGATACTCATATGTTAATACTTTGACAACGCCTTTTCTTGCCATTTTAGAACCTCGTTGTACACCAAGTTGCTATATCCTCTATATCCTACGAACGAAAAGATGGCGCATTCTTCCAAAGAATTAATACAACCTACGATTATTTCGAGCCCGCAGCTGAAACCAAAACCTGACAATGATTTCGTTAAATCTCTCTCGCATCTGGTCGCTGGAGCGTAAGTGAAGACCACTCTTGAATCTGCAATCTTCTTTACTAACCCCTACTTCTTCCACCAGTACCGGGGGCGCCATTACTGCGGTTCTCACATCACCACTTGATGTCCTGAGAACTCGATTACAATCTGACTTTTACCGCCCGGTTCTCTCGTCGACCGCCAGCCCCAAGCCCATGCAACAGCCAGCCTTTCAAGCGTCTCGTCCTATGCTAGGTCATATTCGCGAAACTTTCCAGATACTATTTTCGATATACCATGTTGAGGGCTGGCGTGGGCTATTCCGAGGACTTGGGCCGAACTTAACTGGTGTTGTACCAGCCAGTGCCATTAAGTACTACACTTATGGGAACGTCAAACGCATAATAGGCGAATCGCAGATTTTCGGGCCGAATAGCGAGAATGCCATGGGCTGTCACATAATTTCAGCTGTCACTGCAGGCATAACCACCGGAACTCTCACGAGCCCGATTTGGGTGATCAAGACACGTCTTCAACTTGACAAGTCACAGTCAGCAAACAGTCCACAAGCTGCCCCGAGACGATACAAGAACAGCTTTGATTGCGCAAGACAGGTCTTGCGGCAAGAAGGCCCTAGAGGACTATATAGGGGACTCTCAGCAAGTTACTTGGGAAGCTTAGAAACAACATTCCATCTTGCACTCTATGAGCAGTTAAAAATGCTCATAGTGCGGATGAGGTCTAACCAGGATGAGCCTTGTGCTCGTACTACCGGGAACAAAACCCTTGGGGATCGATTGTCTGGCTTGTTGGGCATGGGTGGTGCCGCCGCACTTTCGAAATTCCTTTCTTCTATTATTGCATATCCACATGAGGTAAGTATCGATATAACCTTTGGTGAGACAAGACAGGAAGTCCAAGTTAACTAACAACCTTTTTTTAGGTGATCCGGACGAGACTACGACAGGCCCCCATGGCTAATGGCCATGTAAAATATACTGGAGTGGTCCAATGCTTCCGACTCCTCTGCAGGGAAGAGGGTTTCAGGGCACTGTATGGCGGGTTGACGCCGCATCTACTTCGTTCTATCCCTTCTGCAGGCATCACACTTAGCGTATATGAGGCCGTCCTTGAAGGGTTCAAACTACTTTCCGAAGACTAAAACATGAGCGTTTTGTTTATGGTTAAGCCAGGCGTTTCCGATAATGGGGTTACTTTCGAACTGTATTATTATGAACATATATAATAGAATTAAGGCTATAGACGGGTAAGGTGTAAGATATAGAAACGGAGGCACATAATTACCCATCATTTATTGCCATTTCCATATGTATCAATGATTCCAGCCATCTAGATGTACAACAACCTATCCAGGGTTGTGCTTATATTATATATAGACATACGAAACCCATATTTTCAACTCATCGCCCGTACGAAAAATAAACAAGTAGATTTTAAGGCATTTGAACGTTCAGCTGTCTCGCTTCGGCTGCAGTGGCCCTTAGAACACGTCTGACATCATTCTCGACGTCACCCATCGTCTCCGCATCTGCAACTTCATTTGAGAGTGTGCCATTTCTCTTTTGGTTGCTAAACAAGCACTGCCAAACATCCGAGTCTCTAACTTTCTCCCCTTCGGCACCGGGCCCAGAGAACAGATTTCCTGGTGTTACGTCTTCCAATTCATGGGAATTTGCAGACTCAAGGGTATTCTCGTCCAGGTGCCGAAGGCTCATTAGAGGGTTATGGGAAGTACCGTTCGATTCTGCATGGCCATTTCCATCCAGATCCAGGTAGCTTTCGGATATAAAGCTGGAGGACACAGAATGTTCCCTTTTCTTCAGGTTCTCTTCGCGTCTACGTGCAATATGGGCTAGACGGCGAGCCACGGAGATTTGATAAATGGACTCCTCAACGGTGTTAGCAACCAGGTACATCCATACAGTTGTATCTTGATGCTGACCAATACGATGAACCCGAGCTATGGCTTGAAGTTCAATTGCGGTATTGATCAGTGGTTCGCAAAGAAAGACGTGGGTCGCGTTAACAAGATTAAGGCCAGATGCATGAGCTTTTGCATGTAGGAGAAAGCACTCGGTCTGTTCAGTTGTTAGAGACAAGATCGTAAGTTAACAGGATAGAAAAAAACAAGGCACGTACAGTATGGTCCTCTTTGAACCGTTCGATACCAGACGGATCATCAATACTGGAATGACCAATTTTGAACCAATAGAAGACATGGCTTAGTGTAACCAGAAAGCTTTTATTCTGCGAAAAGACAATGGATTTAGCTCCTGGGTCATGTTGCCGCAGCCATAGCAAGTGCCGACAGAGAGTATCGATCTTTGTTCCATAAGATCTGGGAAGATCAATCTTCTGGATTTCTTCCAGCACTTTTGAGCTTATATCAGAATATATAGGGTTTTTCTGTGGGTTTCCTGGTTCGGAATTGGGTGCATTCTCTTCCTGAGCAACAATCTCTTGCGGCTTGTAGGTAATCTCGTGGAAGTCTCTCATCTTTAAACGGCTCTTGCAGACGGGGCAGCTTTGGCTTTGACGCCACCAATGCCGTATACAATCCTTACAGAATTTGTGACCACAAATCGTCAACACACCTATAAACATTTGTGTTAGAAATCGCTTGGTTTGAGGATTGGACGTGAGTCAAGGGATAAGGAGTTAGCAGACGAACCAATATCGAAGGTAGAATCACAGATGATGCAGACTCTTGTGTTTTCATCTGTACCAGATTCGTCACGGAGATGGAGAAGGTATCGGTGCTTTGCTTTCAAGGATGACAACTTGGAGTCAATTTCCTTTTCAGCCTCTAGTTTGGTGACAAAGTCTTCTCCATTCAAAGGTTTCCCCTTTCGGTCTTCGTCGTATGGTGCCACTGTATCTGATATTTGTTGGAGCTGACGGTAATATTCAAGCCTCTTGTTCATAACGCTTCTGAAAAGCTCCATTTGCTTTTCTAGGGGAGGAATAGCCTTTGATTGAACCGAAAACAACTTGCTCACTTCACGCAATATGTCCTTGACGATCAATTGCTCTGCGCGGGCCCTAGAACTCCCTTGTATTTCTTGCCGTTCCAAAGACACAACTAAGTTGCGAAGTTCATTCACAAGTCCTCTCAATGAAAGCTGTCCACGAGGCAGTTTTAGCTCCTCACACTTATTTATAAGAGAAATGTATAGTTCTGGAGCGGGGCCTTCACCCATTTTTGCCCTCTCCATGGCAACGCCGACTTCGTGCGTGATCAAGTTATTCACCTGGCCCGTAATTGCGGCAAAATGTCTTGCAAACATAACTCGAAGGCCTTCCATGTAAACGTACATTTCGTCCTGGTGTTTCGTCGATGATTCATACTCGTCACCTTTCAGTTCTGAGCCTTCTTCTTCATCGACCAGCGCTTGTAAAAGCAGCTGTGCCATGTGGTCCAGCCACTTGTTGAATGTATCGGTATGGGGTTTCATGGCATCGCAGAAATCTTCAACTTGATCCAGTAGACGTCGACTTTCTATGCCGACAGAGTGCAAGGCTGTAGACATTGTAGGGACATGGTATACTCCGTCCTTTTGCACCTTGACCTTGAGACGGTTGATTTGTCCATTGACCATTTGAATCGTATCTGCAAGCATTTCTCTTCTGATCAACTTCGCAACTTCGTACCCGTTCTCTTCCTGCTTTTCTAATTCCCGGAAACTATCAGAGTCAGGCTCGGTAATCTCAGGGTCCGTTTTAATCTGGTAATAAGCGTTGGCCATGAAGAATTCACACATATGTTCAATTTCTAGAGCGGTTCGAAGCCGATGACGAAGCACTCCCAGCCTGTTGAGCAGTTCATTCTCGGATTCATCGTCCCCGCTACCTTCATCTTCTTCATTGTCATCGCCATTGACTTCGTTTTTTGCTACACTCTCCTTTGCAAGTTCTGCCCGCCTTTTGAGCTCCTCATCGAGTTGATTTCGACATCCCTTGACAATTAAGCCTGATCTCCTCGCTGCGTCTTTCCAAATCTCCAAGGACTCCCTTGGTCTCAGGGCATTTTCCATTATCTGGCCCCTTCGGATCTGGGATATGAGAAGTGTACGCTCCTCTGTCCGTATCTTGGTTTCATTTTGGTCAATCATAACCGCCAGCACGTCAGCAACAGATCGAAGCGGTCCATTACTCCCAAGGGTTCTTGCTGTAGCTGTGTCAACTTTAGGCTGAAGACAGGCTTGCCTGAGTCTTGATAGCCACGACCTCATCTTAGCGATAACGGCCCGTGTCTGGGGCTGTATTAACTGCGCATCCCATTCGAATGACTTGGGAGTGCCAGATCTGTCCAAGTCACACTCTTCGCACATTTGTTGGAAGAGCTGGTCGTAATGCTGTTCTTCCACGGCAGTGAATGGAATGGTGATAACGACTCTCTTTTGTTTGGGCAGCCGAAGCTCACGGGAGACAATTTCTTTGTTATGTCTGAGGGCAATCTTTCGAATCATCGATTTAAAGACGGGAGGGTATGTGCAAACTCTTTTCCAGATGCTTGCCGAGAGGCAGAAAGGTTCATAATGTAAAAACGACAATAGACCATATATATCTTCGATATCCTTTCGCAATGGGGTACCAGTCATAGCCCATGCATTACATCGTGGAATAATCCTAGCAACCCTCGCAGGTTTGCTAGACTGAGATTCAACCATTTGAGCTTCATCAATACATACACGCCACCAGGATATTTGCATCAAGGGAGATTTCCTTTTCGGAGCTTGTTTAGCGTGACGGGAGGGCCGGTCAGGAGGGTCCTCTGCATAATATATTTCTGTGTTTAGAACTTTATAAGTCATAAGGACTATGTCATAGGAGGCCAGATCGTGTGTGAGTTCCCTGTCATCTACCTTGCTCTTTTTAAGTCCCGTATAATGTTTGACTCTAAGACCTGGGGCATGAATAGCAATCTCTTGTTGCCACTGCTTCAAAATTGAAGGTGGTGTTATTATCAATGTTGCTCTGGATTCAAGCAACCCTGCTGGAGTGGGGGGATATGATCCGTTGATTATGTCGGGTCGCTGGTGGGCGCATATCAGAGAAAGCATTTCCACAGTCTTTCCCAGTCCCATTTCCTCGGCAAGAATGCCTCCCCTCAAGCGTCTTTCTGCATGGTTCCACGAGGATAGATTCCTGATGACTACTCTGAAGAGTAGGCTAACATAGCATGGTCGGCCATCTGCATCTAGCACCCGGCTAAAAGATAGTGGAATTTCTTCAGAAACTTCCCGTGGACGTAAAGTTCCATCAGGTAAAATGTCCATGCCTTCTCTTGTCAGTAACCAGCTGACAGTTCGTTTCTGGAATGGAAACAAGGAACACCTTATCAGGTCCAATCCTTCGATCTGCGGTACATGTTGTTGTGTTGGCGGGACATGGACATTGTCATAAAAATCACTTAGGCCTAGCTGTGGCGGTTCTACATGGGGGTATAATTTTGGGAGTGGGTGCGGAGGGTAGCTTGAGTCTTCGGGCAAATCAAGCTGTGGTTTGTAGTACTGCCACAGTGCCTTCAACGCAAAGTCGGGTATTGTATATCTTATTTCAGCAGAGTTTATCCAGAGTATTCTTGTCTCGAGGACATAGAATCGAGTCTGAGCGTCCGGGCCTCTTTTCAGGTGTGTTTGCGAATAAACAGCAGGAAGCTTCCCGTGGGCGCAGTATATAGAAGTCGAGTTTGAAATGGATGTCCGTAGGGCGTCTACAAGACAATTTTCCAGTCGAGAGTCAAGACCCTCAACTTCTTCCAGAAGTACTTCGTGTGTGCTTGTCCACAAGGCCAGATTCACACCGGGTCTGGTATGATGCGGGTTTCTAACCAGTGCAACTACAGGTACATCTAGTTCGTGCTTATCATTCAAGGAAGGGTTGAGTGGTGGTTTATCGAATTCCTAAAAGTCACCACGGAATTATTAGCTAACTAGGCGATCTAAGAAAGGGCTTGCCTGCGAGACGAGCAGAGAGGTCCGGCCTACGAGTAACATCTCGATTTTACCAATGGCAATATACTGGGGCAAGATATCCGCGGCATATTGTAGATCAATACAAGGCCGGTTTCTATCAATTCTTCTTCGTTTTTCAGGAGGTTCTGAGCTCGCTTCGTGTCTCTCACGGCCGGAGCTGGTGACCCATGCAAGCGCGTCCGGGACGCGGCCTAGTTAGTTACGTAGTTAGTTAATAACAGAGCCAAGGGCGAGACAGGGTAAATCTGAAGTCGCATAAGTAGGTAATTACCTGGGACTCTGACGCTGTATTGCTCGAATGCCATCCCCAGCGGTCGTTCCGTCAAGCTTGCTCGCTCTGAGGATGAAGAAGAAGAAGAAAAGAACCGTAACTTTAGGCAGAAGCGCGGAGTGGTCTAACTAACTAATTTAACTTCGCGTCCTTATCGATAAGATCTCGTTTCTCTCCACTTTGTTAAGGAGTCAAACTTGTTAGTTAAAAACACAGAAAAGAATCAACGTCCGTCCCCTTTTTTCCCCTTCGTCATGCTCCTAATACTTCTCCTCCTCCTCCTTCTCCTTCTTGATCTCCCTCTCCAGGCGGCGTCTTTCAGCCCTCCTGGCCCTCATTTTGGCCACCTGATGGGGCCGGTGGCGGCGCGGGCGCGCTGGTGCAGCAGGGGCAGGGCAATTGGCGAGTGCTGCAGCTGCTGTTCTGGCCGCAGCTATCGATTTCGTGGCTGCCTCCATTGTTTCTATTGCAGCTTTTGCTGCTTCTGTTGCTCCTCCGGTCTCTGACACTGCCAGCCACTCGTTTGCGGCTGCATTCCATTCTTCTGCCGCCGCTTTCCATGCTGCTGCCGCCGCTTCCACCTTTGCGGCGGCTGGTGTGAGCGCTGCTGGTGCTGCCTGTGGTGCTGGCTCTGTTGGTGTTTGGGTAGACATCGTTGGTTATCGAAATGTAGTTATTAAGTTGGATATGCTATCATGCGTCAACAGCTATGTAGTAGGATAGACGAGGGAACTAAAAGGATGCATTATACTTACATTGTGGATGTCTCTTGCGGTCTGAAGAAGGAAGAAAAAGAGAAGAAAAAGAGAAGAAGAAAGAGGAAAGGAAAGGGAGGAAGAAGAGACGAATCTCTATATAGACATAGTCACGGTAGCAACACACGCGAGCAACACACACGAGCAACACACAACCACGACGGGGCTTAACTAGGTACTTCGAGCCATTTGTGCTATCCCCCGGCGAGAACGCGAAGAGGAGTCCCCTTTAGGTATGCAGGGAAGCAAGACATCCCTCGTTCTGACGAGGGGCTGGCCTGTGGTTACGGGCAATGTCTGTAGGATATATTTTGACAGACGGGCTACGGAGAGACTCTTTCGACTTGGCTCGCTGTTTTCTACGCCATGGTTGGATAGAAAATAGATGGAAGGAAGAAGAAGAAGTTGTTTATTCGTGTTCTCGTGTCCTCGGGCGATGGGGCAGGCCCTCGTTCTGCTTCTTCTCCTTCTCCTCATCCTTCTCCTTCTTCTCCTTCTGCTGCTGCTTCTGCTTTCTTCTACGAGCTTCTCTCCGCCTCTCCTTCTTCTCTTGCTCTTTGTTGGGGCGGGGGCACGGCTGGGCTGGCTGGGCTGGGTAGCCCTGGTGGGTAGCCCACCAGGGGGGCGGGGCGGGGGCTGCTGGTGGTGGTGTTGCTGGTGGTGGTGCTGCTGCTGTTGCTGCATTCTTTATTCTGGCACTGATCTATGGTGTTTATTCCGTTAGATATAGGATCACACGTCTAAGGGCTATGAAATAGGATAGACGAGGTAGGTGATAAGGGCGCATGAAACTCACGTTGGAAATAATTCTGTGGCCTGAGGAAGAAGGAGAAAGAGAAAGGGAGTAAGAGACGAAAGACGAACCTTTATGCAGAAAAAGGCACGACAGCAACACAGGTGAGCAACACACGAGCTGGTGAGCAACACACAACCAGTGCTGGGCCTAACTACAGGTCTAAACCAAGTCAGGAGGACACAACGCCTCAATAGCATGAAGATCATAGAGAGTATAATGGTATTTGATAATAGACAGGTCTCTTATGGTAGAGGATACAAAAACAACACTTTGCATTAATAGAAGGTAAGCATGCCACTATAGTATGGGTATAAAATAACATAGGCCATCCTCGGGGTCCTCACAATCGCAATTGTCTAGAATTCCAGGGTTCCGTGTCTGGCGAGTAACCATTGCTTCATCTTCTCCGCTGTGTCTGCAGCATGTTCCTCGGTATCATGTATAATCTTGTGATCTGGATAATGAAGATCCAATCTTAGGAAGGAATACTCTTTTTCAATAGCAGTCGTATCTTGCCATTTAGCTAGGAGCTTTTGTAATGTTTCTATCTCCCTAGGGGTAAGATTTTGTGAGGTGGCTTCTCTCCTCTCATAGATATCAAATAAATCACCTGGCATTATCCCGCCATATTCAGAACGAATAGACTGCTCAACCTTTTCAGCTATTCCAAGGATATCAGTGCGGTGAGGGTATCGATGTTTCACTTCGAATTGAAAGTCTTCTATCATAAACTCCATGTGGTAGCATGACTGAAGAGGAAAGGGATATTCATGGAGGCCCGACAACGCACGCTGAGCTTGCGAGAGAAAAAGGCAGCCGTAGACGGATTGGATGCCGTTATAAACCGCCTCCATAGCAGTAATATCTATTGAGCCCACGGAGCGGGACAGGGTATTGGATGGAGTGATATAACACTGTCAGCGGATGGAGCAAGCTGCTGCTTTTGTAGGATCTAACGAAGATGCCACCTATTATTATTGCCCAACCGGGTGGCTAATGGCGCGCGTAGTTGACTAGCACTGACCTTGGGAGAGAGAAGCGCTCTTGAGTTGTCAAGTTCGTTACACACATGAGCGTGCGCGTGCATCCGCTGTCTGCTTTTGCGCTACGGGGCCGGTAAGACACACAGTCCTGATGATACCATGGATGGATGTATGGTCGTCGCGATGGTCTGCTGCCTCTGCTGCCTCTGCTGCCTCTGCTGCCCTTGTATGGTATGACGTTGGTGGCAAGAGGCTCTAAGACAGGAGATTATATTAGGTAAGCAAGTAAACTTACTTAATTCTGTGACTAGTCCAGATAAGGTTAGATCCATCCCCCCCCCCCCAAGAGCCTCACGTCGACCTCAACCGAGCAGATCTCGAGAGAACCGCAGGCAACCAAACAACCAAAGAACTACTCTGAACAACCAACTGCCCTGAACAGCTACTCTGAACAATTACCCTGAATCCAGCGCTGCCTGCTCTATCTCGCCAAGGAGAGTTAGTTTGGGATAGTCCTTCAAGGCTATGGCAAGGAGAAAAGGGCTGGCTCCTGGTGAATCATTCATCGTGGGGCCAGCATGAGACGAGAATAGTAACTAATGGCTAGAGCCCCTCTGGCCCTGGCTCTGGCTCCTGTACATAGGTAGCCCGCTGCTGCTGGACGGCAGCGCCATAATAACAATACCAACAATGTGATAGATATCCTGATACCTGCACCGCGATCCGTGATCCGTGATGCGGATATAGTGTATATGGATTGCTGTTAGCCGTAGGAATACCCCTAGCTATATATCCCAGGCTGAATGATAGACACAGCTCTATGAACACCGCCAGGAAGGCCGTCGCCCTCGCCTGCCCGCGGACGGGGCAGGCAACGTGACCAGGACGCGCTTGCCGTGCGCGGGCCCTCGCGTCCTCCTCCTCGTCCTCCTCTCTTCTTCTTTTTCTTCTTCTTCTTCTTCTTCTTCCTCTTCTCTCCTTGCGTTCCTCAGCCTTTGCGTTTCTACTGTTTAGTTCGATTGCCCCGGCAAGCCCATCCTAAATAAAGCGCAATACTTGATACGCCTCCCTCGATAGCCTCCTTTCCGTTTTGATCACCGTTTCGAGATGGATCCAGGAGCCAACGAGTTCGTTTCCACCCCCTCTCCCTTAGATCACTATTTCCTCCTTCTAATATCCTTTTACTTTCCAGAGTCGATCGTCAGTTGTTAGAGAAGTGGCTGGCCTCCGATGCCGTCTCCAATTACTGCGAGTCGGCAGATAAAGGTCAAGACAACGCAAAGAGAAAGAAGCAAAAATGTCAACAACAATTTGCTGAGATTTTCTTTGCTCCGATAGGTGGCTCTGCTCCTACTAGAGAGCCGAGAGCCTATGATGGCCGGGTAAGTTGGTTTTCTAAGAATAGGCTATGGATAACCTGCATAGCGGTCCTCGTTTTGTCCAGAGTAGGGTCTTCCGCGTTCAGGAAGACAACTCTGGTTTTATACCGAGAAAAAAGTGGCTGGTTGATTACCTACCTTATTCTAGAGGCTTTAGGATGGGTGGGATTAGCGTGCCAGCTCAGAATGCTGTTATTCCCCCGGTGCAGCAGCAGCCGCTTGTTGTGTCTGGCATACGTGTTCTCCATTATCGCTGCAATTTCGGAGTGCGCTGCATTGATACATGTAGCAACCTTTGACACCGATAGAACATATCACCAGGCTTCACTGGTGTTTAAGTGCCTCAGCGAAGGGGGTGTCCACGTGCTTAACTTGTGCCTACTCGCCATGCGAAAGACGCCAGATGCTGCAAATCCGGAATTTTCGCTTAGACAGTGGTGCCAGGTTCCCAGTGATTACAGAGCATGGGCTCTGGATGCACTACATGACCATCAGATCAACTTCCTTAACGGCAAAGTTCGAAAAGCCCAGCCTTCGGGTGAAGCTTCAGGAGCCCAGCCTTCGGGTGAAGTTTCAGGAGCCCAGCCTTCGGGTGAAGCTCCAGAGACCCAGCCTTCGAGTGAAGCCCCTCGTCCCGCCGCGCGGGCTGATGAAGAGCCACAGGCCCCACCAAAAGTCCTTCGCAGCTCCCGGGGAAGAGTCCTCTCGCCAGTCCAGCCACGGTCAGCCCTCCGCAGCCAGCCAGCCAGTCAGGTGCCATCGAGAACCAATACCCCCGCAAGAATGGCCTAATTTTTGTATCCAAGGGTATACACCGCTATCGACCTTAATACAACTACGAGATGACAGAAAGGGTTGAACAAGGAGAGATCATCTTCTTTTCTGGCAAGTTCTTTTAGATTAGCCGTCACATATCACTGTTCTGGAAAGCCCCTTAGGCCCGGCCGCTCAGTGTTTCTTTTCTTTTTTTTTTTTTTTTTTTTTTTTTTTCTATTTTAGGTCAGCTGGCGACTCGTGGCGATCGTCTGGTAGCGCAGTAAGGACCACTTTTGGGTGGTTCAAACTGCGTGTGGGTTCGAATCCCACTGCTGACAATTGCCATAAATCCATGTTTAGATGTGCAACTGTTTAAAACTGTAACGACACTAACTAATTTTATAATTCGGGTACTGACCTAGCAAGCAGGTATTATTGTTCCTCACTCCTACCTAACAATTTGCCATGTGCATCCTCCAAGATATGTGCAAGAAGGTCAGCCGTTAAAATTGGCCAAGGAAATGCCATCAGATCACTAATGGATATAATCTACTTAGATTATCTAAATGCTAGTGCTGTCATACTAACACTTAACACCATGGCTAAATGTTATACAGTTATCTTCTGACCACACAAATGCCCCGGATTGCCATCATAATGCCTCCTCCCTTTTATATGCAGTGGGTATCATAATCCTATATACGTACAAAATCTCCTGTTCATGACAGCGGTGTCTGTCTATAAGTATGCGGGTTATAAGTGGCAGCGGGCATTCTGGTTCCATCACCCACGCGTCCCCGGTACGTAGCTCCTACATCCACCATCTGATCGGTAGCCAGTTGTGCTTCTTGGCTCAGCCGGGGCTGCGTCGAGGGATAGGACCCAGACTCCAGGCTCGAGGATGTTTGAGCCATGGCCCGAGAACGTTCGCCTTGTGGAATATGATCTTTGCTTTTCACTGCAGGGAACAAGTCAACAACAAACGAGAGCACGTATAGCGCGAAAATGAAAGCAACAACCCATTCAATAATCGCAGCGGTGTCTCTCGTTCGTCTTCTCTTTCCAAGGACTTTATATGCAATTGCCAGTGCTAACTCAACCAAAATGAAAAACACCTTGACCAGGAAGCTCATGAAGATGATTTTGTGTTCCTTGTATTCAACTCCAAGGCGGAGGTACTCTAGGCATATGAATAGAGCACTGAGCAGGTACCCTCCTCTAACGTTGGTCAACGCAATATACGTTAGTAACGTGCGGATGTTAGCAATTGGCGTAATGAGGATGGACCAAACTTACATGAACATTATCAGGAATCCACCGTGAAGGCGGGAATGTTTTAGGGTGTCAAAATGGGCCAGAAGAATAAGTCCAGCTGCCCCGACCATGGAGAATAATATCGCTAGCAAAGAAAGAGTCTTATCATATACTCCTCTGTTCGGCACAAGGCGATATTTATGCCGTAGCCAGCGTTCCGAGATGAATGCCAGCACAAAGAATACAGACGACACGGTACACCCCGCTACAAACAGCGGCTTGAGGCCTTGTGCAGCTACGTCCGATATATATCTATGAAATCAAAGTCAGTACAATGCAACGAATTGCTGCTATTTTTCGGGTACCATACGCTATAGACTGGCCTGGTTCCATTGACGGATATGCGGGGGATCCATCAATCTTCCACCGCACCAGGAGCACTATCAGTGTCGCTATCCGAGCTGATCAGCAGGTTTCTTCTTGTGCTTTTGGGGCCAGGCTTGCCATACCTAGCCATACGCAGGCTGCCACCAGGGGAAAAAGCCAGTAGGAAATATACCACATGGTGTCGAATCAGCTAGTTTGTTAGCCAGGCAAACTAAGGTGAGTTTCGAGATTCCGGCGTTTCCTGGGTGGGCGGTTATAGGTAACAAATGACAGCAATTGAGGATATATATAAACCAGAAAACAGGAATAACAGTTGAGCGAATGTCACAGCTCCTACTCCGCGTCGACTGCAGAGTCTGGCTGTCTATTATGTGTATAGAGCAATGTGTCCACGAAGCGTGCCAGGTGTTGAGTCTCGGGAAAAAAAAGCTCTCGCGGCCTGTCAGATGATGATGTCATCGGCCGCACCCGCTAAAAGCCGGCGGAGTTAAATTTCGGCATTAACGGGAGAGCTCGACCCGCATGGGAAGCACGAGCCAGCATCTCAACTTCGACAACTACAACAGTTACTACAACTACAACGTCAACATCACTACGACACTGCGGTAGTGGGATTCATGAGATTATCTGTGAGAAGCCGTCAAAGATCTAGCGAGGAGATAGTAGATCGCGAAGTGAGAACTCTGGCCTGTCAATGGAACTACCAGGGATCGTCGCTAACTGATTATTGCCCAATGGAAGAGCAGAAAAGTCAAGAGACTTTTGATCGACTTTGTTTCTTGTTTCTCGTTTCCTCTGTACCAGAATAACTAACCGGCTCCATAGCTCTTTATTCGCTGATTATTTTTTCATGCGGATAGTGGGTGTTCCATGTCTGGCAGCCAAATATCATGTAGTATGCCTGGGTTGTTTGGGAAAAGTCAAATGCAACATGGCTGGTTTGTTGAATTCATCCTCCATGGGGCGTCCTCATTGGCGATTGGTGGGAGCAAGCTGAATCTCTGGGTGTGATATCTGTCGGTTTGCCTTGTCCCTGCATAATCCTAGGACATGCTGCATTTTAGCCCTGTCGCCAGGCTATGGATCCAAAAAAAAAAAAAAAACGGCAGTAACCTCGACTGGCATTTGAATAAGTACATGCCTCCTCAATGAAATCGACAGTGTAGGTATAGACAGGATCTATCAAAAATGGGCTTTGGAGGGATCACTCAGTACGTGAATGGCATTGATTAACTTCGCTGGAACTTTATCAAGGATAGCTGCAATGTATGGACAATGGAAAGGAGATTAGAGCATGGCAGCTCGTTCTGGAGGACAATTAATAATTGGAAAGTATCCGACTAGAAGGTAAGAGAAGTATAATCTTGAAAGAGACGAGATGTACAAGTCTAATGGCATTAAAAATCAGTACCCATGAAGTGCGTCCCGGTAAATGAAAACTTTCAAGAGACATTGCGCAGGTTAAGAGTCAGGAGAGAAAACTGGTCGGCGAGGGAGATGAAAGGCAGCGAGTATTAAATCCATCTGTACTTTTTCCTCTTTGGTCGAACAAAGCCATTACGAGTTGCAGTGGTAGTAGATTTGGAAGAAGATGATTTAGAAGTCTCTGTCGTGGTAGGCGAGGCAGGGGATGCATGATCAGGTTTGGGTGTGTCAGGCGGTTTTGTGGAAGCGGGTTGTGTCTTTTTAGGAGACGATTTCGTTGATGATTTTCTGCGGCGGGCAAACCCTTCGTCTCTACTACTAGAGGCAGTGTTTATGGTTTCCACGCCATCATCACCATGGCCAGTCCCGTTGGTAGCTTGGTTGGATGGAAGAGGTGGCCCATGCATTGCGAACGGGTCAGGAGAGGGGTGATTTAGATAATTATTGTAAGGCAAAGGAGAATACACAGGCTGACACATGATGTTTGGAGGTGGAGGTGGATATGCCGGCCGGGGGTACATGGGATATGGAGATTGAGGCACAGACAGAGGAATTGCTCCAGCGGTAGTAGGTCCAGGCATCATTGAAGGATGCGGGCCGAAGGGGTAAAACTGAGGCTGTGGCGGTGGCTGCTGTGGAGGGAAATTTGGTTCATGTCTGGGTGATATTGAAGAACATGGTTGCCTAGGCCTGTTAGATGATTTCCTGAGAGATATATGACTAGGAACCGGAGAGGATGGGACAGAGTAGTGCCCAAGGTATACCGGTGATGAATAAGTCGTATCGGCAACGCTCTCGGATGGCCTCCTTTTCCTAGAAGAGCTGTATATCTGTCTGGTACTCCCTTTTGAGGGCGTTTTAACTGTTCCGTTGGTAGCTGGGGTGCGTGGCCGGCTGAGTCCAATTTCGGCATTCCGTCGTCTCCTCCTTTCCAATGCGTCAACCTCCCTATCCGTAAGGGTGAAGTTGTTCAACCGGTTCACTCGTGCATATCGAATCTTTTCAAGCGCATTTTCAACCAGAACATCATCGTCGTCTCGCATGGCAAGTTCCACTGCATACGCAATAGTGTCATTGTGTGAGAGCTCATGCCCGTCATATCCAGTCACACCATCACAGCCATCATCATTATTCTCACCATCTGAGCCTTCAGCCTCATCCATGCTTTCATCCTCATCACTATCAGACCATTCTCCGGGTATCTCATCCACTTCACCACCACAAGTCTCCCTTCTCTTGTTATCGACAAAAGGAACCAAAGACACTCCTGGATCTTCCTCGTCTTCCTCCTCCTCGCCATCACTTTCGTCTTCTTCGTCTTCGTCTTCTTCTTCCTCTTCACCACTTTCACTCTCCGTCAGCCGATTTTGACTCCTCTGACTCTTCCCCCTGCACAATGCCCCTAGTGGTCTTCCCCATAGGGGCACATCACAAGGAGCTCGCGGTCGACCACCTAGACCGCCTCCCCCGAAAAAGCATTCTCGATTGGCTTGTCCATCAGCGCGGCATGTCCGATAACGCACACACCGGTAGCACAGGTAAGCCACAAAGCAGTAGACAACGGTGACGCCCAGAGACCTAGGGGAAGTGCAACAACCAAAAGAGCAGTGTAGAGTTGGCTAGTGGTTGCACGGAAAATACCAACATCTAGATCCCGGCCTTCCAGTTTACCAATACCATAAGAGCCTCCGAGAACAAGGAGGATGACGAAAAGGAGGGCCAGGTTGGTGAGCAGACTGTAGATGCTGAGCACAATGAAAACAACAACATAGTTGCTAGAGAAGTAGGAGAGGTTGTAGCTTGCGCGGCTCTGGAATTCAGCAAAGTTGGCCGGCTTAGAGACTCGCTTGATATCCAAGAACTCAGAGACGGGCCGTAGGTTGGCGAAGCGACTGGACATGGACTGGGAGCGAATGCCATTGAGTCTTTCTGTGAGGTTCAGGCGCGAGGTAAATGCCTCGAGTGGGAGCTGAATACTAGCCATTGTGCCGGCTTATTGTGCAAACAACGAGATTCTGAGGATAACACGCAGGGGATATGCTTCAACAGGTAAGCCCTATCTGTTTTCAACAGTTTAACCATCTATTAATCAATAAAGCAGAAGACATATCAGGCACACGAAGAGGCATCAACAATCACAGGGATGGATGGACCCTGCCAAGAGAGCCGCTCCAGAGTCGACTAACCTTTTTTCTTTCCAGCTTGTCACAGACTACGTGAAATGCAAATCCGAGGCGCGGACGGCGAGGTATATAAGCACCAACAAGAAGAATATTGCAGCCTAGCTGGAGGAGACGAAGTTGGCGAAGTCGCAGGGCCGAAGTTGAAGACGAAGAAATTAAAAGCACAAGACGTGGACACATTGTGGCTTGGCAGGATGATGTAAGCAGTTCAGCCCCTGAGACGCAGATCAAGCAGACAATCATGATAAATTGATAGCTATTGCAAAAATACAAAATACGAAATAAATGTAGACATGGCAATGCATAAGTATAGGAATGTAAAGAGAGTATCCATAGGCATGTTCCCTGCGATGAGTTATGGTAGAGCGGTGTTCTTAGACTGTTCATCTCGCACGGCGTATGTATCTCTGCAACTATACTCTGAGATACCTATACAGCAACGAATATACCTGCTGTCTCATATTGGGGTACATCGTTATCACACATCCTCTGTCACTCAAGTCGAAATCTGTCTTTTTAAGCAAAAAAAAGCTTCGGATAGGCTCAATATCCATAACATTACAACATAATACATATATTACCCCACAAATCACTCCTTTTTGCCTCAGTGGAATGTGTAATATTTCAATGTGTGACAATACACCAATACAACCACCTTTCAACTTTCATCTTTGTTGATCAAACAAAACCTCGAAGATCAAGCAAAAGGATTCCTCGACAGCGCTGCCAATTTCTTGTCGACGGCCTTTGCCAGATCGCAGTCGATATTGTGAGCGCAAAGCTAAGGGTTTTGGAAGGAGAATAGCTACGCAGAACTGCGGGTGTGCCCAAGATGAGGCACTTCGGTCTTCTGCGATTGCTCGCCTTTGCGCTGCTGTTCGTTGGCCTCGTTGCTGCTTGGTCGAAAGAAGGTATGTGAGCTGCTTGATACGGCGATGCAGACAGTGTTCCAGTGTGTCTGCATACTCTAACATCACTTCGTTTAGATCACGAAATATTCCGCCTGCGAGATGAGCTGCACGCCACCCAGGGTCATAATGTAACCTTTTACGGTCAGTCCTGATACACACTCCTACATCAATTGGCCGTATATTGATCCGATTCTGGACAGATTTCCTTGGAGTCAAGCCCAATGCTGGCCAGAGCGAGATCGTCAAGGCATATCGCAAGAAATCCAAACAGTTGCACCCCGACAAAGTTAAGCGCGCTTTCATCGCCAACTACGGCCGCTCGCGCAAGGCCAAAACTGGCTCTAAACCAGGAGTCCGTGTCTCCAAGGGACCTACAGACCGTGAGATTGAAAAGGCGCACAAGCTCGCCACTCAGCAGTTTGCTCGCCTGGGTTTGATTGCAGACATTCTCAAGGGCCCCGGCCGTGAGCGATATGATCACTTCTTGAACAATGGATTCCCTGCTTGGAAGGGTACTGGATACTACTATAACCGGTTCCGCCCTGGACTGGGCTCTGTGCTATTTGGATTGTTCCTTGCCTTTGGTGGAGCTGCTCATTACGCTGCCCTTGTCCTAAGCTGGAAACGACAGAGGCAGTTCGTGCGACGTTATGTCAGACAGGCTCGCCGTGCAGCTTGGGGTGACGACTTCAGTGTTCCGGGCGTTTCAAATATTGGTGAGAGTGCTGCGGATTCTAGAGGACATTCCACCGCTGCTTCTTCGGGGGAGAATGCAGGTGACGAAGGTGCTGCCCCCGTTCCAGTTAACCGCCGCCAAAAGCGCATGATGGAGCGGGACAGTCGCAAAGAAGGCAAAAAACCAGTTAAAGCAGCTAAGGCGAAATCATCTGTTAACCGTGAAGACTCTTCTGCTCCTGGATCCGGCACTGCGACCCCTGCGGGTGTTGAGACTAGAAACCGGAAACGTGTTATTGCAGAGAATGGAAAGGTCCTGTTGGTCGATTCCTCGGGTGACGTGTATCTTGTTGAAGAAAATGAGGATGGTGTCAAGGAGGAGTTCCTCCTTGACGTTGACGAAATTCCCAAGCCCACCTTCCGTGACACCATGGTCTGCAGACTTCCCATCTGGATATATGAGAAGACTGTTGGACGGGTTGTTGGCGCCGTTCCTGACTCTACAGCAAACGATATGCCTGAACAGACCGAAGAGGAGGAAGTTGTGCCTCAAGAGGAAGAGAGAACCTCTTCCATTACCCAGAAGAAGAAGAAAGGTAGAAGGGGTTGATTTCGTTGATGGGCTTCGCTTTCATTTTTGCCTTTTCAATTCCCTGTTACCCATATAAAAGCACATTGACTTGTATTTTTTTACCTTTCCCTTTCATTCTCCTGAATTGTACACTAGAGTAATGATACATTATTGAATATTTATGGTATTGGACTTCAATGCTAATGGGTCAAATGGCATGCATAAACGAAATTGAGGGCATAAACCCAGTGGATTTAGATATTAAACGCTACTATTAAAAGGTAAATGTTGGATATAATGAAAACATACGGGGTATCGTTATCAGGTACCAGTGACAGCACCACATTCAAAATAGGCGTTCGAGACCAGGTGAACAGTCTCCCGGAATTTTAACATATCAAACATGCAGTACCATGATATTTTCTCCGTCACACATTAATGTTTCTTCAGGGTTGTTTGGCTATTCGGGAGAAGGCTCCATCAGGCACTAACTCAACTTAACTCGTCTCCTCTCTGAATTACCTGTAAGGCTGAGGAACGGCAGGTTGTTGGTAATTCTGATACTGGGGCGCTGGCTGTTCATATGTCTGGCCCTGCATCAAGGCCTGAGACTCGGGGCTTTTAACGGGATCATAGTATTGGGGCTGTTGAGGTGGAGGAGACGGAGAGAAATCATTTCTTGTAGGCTCAAATCCGGGTTGGCTCATGGGTGGTTGAGTTTGCATGTTGTGCTGAAACTGTTGTTGTTGTTGCATCGGGCTGTTGTATGCAGTGTTGACGTTTTGAAACGGTGGTTGGGGCCCAGGCTGAACTGGTACATAGGTGCCTTTGGTGGGGTCGTTTGGATCTATTGCTCCAGGTTGCGTGACCGGGGCCAACGAGCCTTCGGAGACGATATATAGAACAGCCAGGTACGACATGGTATAGAACAAGTTCCACAGAAAGGTGAAGACAGCAAATGCGGTGGTGGTATATGGTTGGCCTCTGACATAGAAATGGAAGCCATACACCACATCAAAGAAGGTCAGAAGAACAGGGAAGATGATCACAAAGAATATCCATTTCTTTGCCCACTGTGATAAATTGTTAGTTGGTATAACGGCAAACGACATACTCGAAAATAATGTTTGGTTGAGGGTTCAGGTATACATACAGAATTCTGGATCTGAGAGCTTCGAATGACAGCAAAGAGTATGCTGATAGACGCTAGGCAGGTTCCGATAAACGCGACTACATTGTAGGTAGCTCCTAGGCCAGACGTCACCTTGGATAGAGTATCAAGTACTCTGTAGTTCGCGCGTATACTCGGAAGGCTGGACTGCAATCCCAGGTAACAAACGAGAAGTATCGCCATGATAACCATGACAACAAAATGGCCAATTGCAACGACGCGCCCGAGAACTTTGCCGGCCAGTCGGTGAAGGTGTTTGCAGAGAGGGACCATAATTACTCCAATGAGGAGTAGAGTGCCCCAGTTTTTGAACCACGTTCGAATAATGGAAAGCAGCTCGTAGTTATCAGTAGATCTACACTCGCGCATGACCGTCGTTGTAATGAAGAGTATGGTAGATCTTGTGCGTTCAATATGTTAGCCTATACTTTCTCCTTCGGTTTCAGCGTATGGAGTAGTAGGTAAGGTATAGCATACGCTGTGATTAATGTCAATGATAGGCTTAATGCCCACCACAACGACCTTGATTTCCGCTGGTTCCTCTTTTTCATCGCGGTTGACTTGTTGGAAGTAAGGCAACCCAAGCAGAGGAACGTGAGAAGGAAGATGGACAGAAAAACCATCGAAGCAATAATGGCTCCATCTTTGAACGCGCCAGAAGCACAGCTGCTCGAATAGCTGCTGCTGCTACCATGACGGCCACCACCGTAATGTCCACCACCACCGCCGCCTTTGCCGCCTTTTGGTGCCATCGCGAGATTCAAAATAAAATAAGAATTGACAAGCGCGGTATCCAGTTCCCGATAGGGAAACGAGATCTCCAAAGGCAGATGAAAATTTTAGAGCCTCAAATTCAATGGATCTGAGGACACAGAAGAAACAAAATCAAATGTCCCTGTCGCGACGATATGTACTCGGCGGTTCTTCCCAACCGGTGAGCGAATGCTAGGCGAAAAGTTTTTGGGTATATTTTTTTTTAGAAAGCATTGCCTCAACCCCTAGGGGCCATACCGCATTCAGCTGATCAGCAGCCATTCAAGAAGCATCCTGTCCCATAGCAGGCCGCCATCAGCACACACTACGCCCTGAAGAAGCTTAGGCGCAGAATACCCAAATTACTGTGTTGAGAAACCGTGTCGTATCCATGGGGCTTAAAAAAAAGGAGGCGGCTTTGTTTGATACGAGCTAGAGGCTCCGCCTGCATATGGAAAGGACGTGCTATTGGAAGCACGTCAAGCTCTCTCGTATTCCGCTGCGCTTTCACCCGCTTTCCTTGGCTCGCTTGCCCTTGGGAATCGTATATATTCCGCGCTGCTGACACCATTTTAAGGCCTCAACCCGATAGTTCAGCTGCGCTTGTTCAATCCTCGGTCATATTTAGCCCGTGGCATTCTCGTCCTTGGTCACAGCTCCACTCGTCGTCGTGCAAGATGTGCTGGCCGCAAGTGACCTTCAACGCTAGGAGTTGATCTTCCATGCTTTGACTTTTGGGTTTTTTTGAGATCGATTAAAAAAACAAAGTTATGGTCAGGTGATGTTAAATATAAGCATATTATATAATCAACTCTATTTTTACCACAAACCCTTGAGTTTCAATACAGACAGAGAATCAGACAGAGATCGATTGCGACTTATTGACATTGGGATACTAGAAGTACGTTGGTGCCACACCTTTTTTGATTTATGCATGCACACTAAGCGCTAAAAATATGGCTTTACTTTGGACATACCCAGATCGTTGACTTGACCGCTGATTCTGGTGTTAAGAGCTGCTTCCTATATAAGCTGGCGAGTGCTGCGCGGTTTTTAACAGCAACGCTTATGTATAACTAGTGAGATGAAACGCATGAGGTATTATTTGAGACTGAAAATTCTATGGCAGATACGGCAGTTCATTCTTTGATACCTCAACAACGGCTTGGTCCTCGGTGTTAACTACTTATGAAGTCAAAGGAAGGAATATGCTGTTTACATGCGCCTGACTGTGAAAAGGCAGTATACGGATTGGAGAGCTAGCTATCCCAGGGGTGGAACAGTCACTTTTCTTACATTTGAAGGCAACTCTTTACGAGCACTTTGCGCCATGTCAAGACTTCCAGAAGTCACAGTCATTCCGAGACTGCGATACAACTCAGTAACATCTGCTGCCGACTTTCTGTCATAGTCATATTGATGTTTGTTGTGGTACCACGCCTAAGTTGCTGACGTTAGTTTCAATATTTATATTTCCGGAGCCCGTAGCTTGCAACTAGTTACCTTAGAGAGAGACCATGCAGTCTCCAAGCTTAGGATTTCTCCCGTGTGAAAGCCACGTTTTTGGGGCCATTTCTGCGCACCCTGCTTTGATTTGAATAGCTGGATGGTGCCACATACAAATCGAACATCTCTCCACCACGTTGAAGGTGGAACAGAGAAGTGAGCACAGCAATCGCTTGTACTGAGCTCCCGATGAAGGTAAATAACTTTGAGTTCATCTCCCTGAACAACGACCTGTACCTCTTGGGCCATGGAACCTGAGCCGACCGAAATAATAGCTTTGTCTGGAGCCAGCATAGCAGCTAGGCCAGGGGCGCACCAGCTTCGCTCACCTTCCGACTAAGAAGATTGTCAAACTCGGCTTTTAACTCATGACTTAGCATAGACTAACCACTATAAATGGGATTGGACTACAGGTACAAGTAGTCAGTTATGGCTCAATTTGGTGGTTTAAGGCGACATTAGATATTTTAGCCCTGTAAACTCACAGGTGTGGAAACAGATGTGCCATTGCCATAGGAGTTGGCGCACACGATTCGTGCTTGTATAGGACTATGCGATGCTCTTCCTCAGGCTTACGGAGAATAGACGGTATTTCGCAAGATCCAAGCCCAGATAATTTGGCCAGTTCATCCTCAGTAGGTGGGCAGCATTCTTGGAGGTAGAACTGGAACAGTTCATAGCGAACTTTTCGAGTAACTTCCTTCATGCTGATTTACTTCGAGACCACTGAATAGAAATTCACACGGTCATTGAATAGTAGAGAGACTGGGGAAGTTACTTATAATTAGGTATAGATTAACTGGTTTTCGCCTCTGTTGGCTACTTTCAAGCGATGGTACACGTCAATTCTAAGGCATAACAAATCGAGTGGAAATATGGATAACTAGCTAGCGAGCGGCTTGAGACGTCGTCTCTTCTTTGGCACCCCGAAGAGCGCGTGGGCCTCCCGCCAACCTTAACCAGCAGGGCGGAGTCGCTTGGCGCCGGAGGCTGAGTTGACGAGCCAGCTGCCAGGCAACAGGTTTTACGGCCTATATATACTTAGATCAATCATTGTGATAGTTACGGTGAAAAAACATCTTCTGAAACCCTTAAAAGCATTTGATTGCCAGGTTTCGTGTGCACCGATATACCCCTCACTGTACACCACGTCCGAACGTGAACCAATGTCTCTCAAGAATGGTACTGGGTTAGATTTTGTATCTACCCATCCATTTGTGAAAGCAACTCTGCAAGACAAGATTCGTGGAGTCATTTTTGGATCTGCCTTGGGTGACTGTATTGGTTTATATACAGGTTGGCTATTTTCCCCCACGCGCCGTGTACAGAGGAGCTTACCAAAATACCTAGAGTTCCTGTCTAAGAAGATTGCCGAAGATGCGTACCCTCAAGGTAGATTCCAGCTAGTAGATCCAGCTACTAAATTCCGAAATGATGGCCATAGGAGTGAGCTCTGCATTCTCCCTTACTCTAATCAATTGCAAACTATGACACTAATGGCGAATGGGATATAGACAAATTCGAACTGGTAAGTTTTAATCTTGGAGATGTCTTTTTGACAAGCTAGACATCTTAATAACCGCTCTTTTGTTCTTCGTATATTTAGAAAGCATGGACGGATGATACAGACCATGCTCTCTTAATACTACTCTCATATCTACACCACAACGGACAGATGCTCTCTCCCTCTGACCTAGCAAAACGTCTGAAAATTTGGATTGACCAAGGACTAAGGGCTCTAGATCGCCCTCCTTGTGGTATCGGAAAGACAGTGGGTTCGGTATGTATTGAAAGAAACTTACATGCTATGAAGTATCGATTTGACAAGCTCTAATCCTCTCCTGCAGATTGTCCTCGACAAGGAATACCTCACCAACCCAAGCCAGAAGGCACATCAGTACTGGGTCAAAGGTGGTAGAAATGTGGCACCGAACGGGTCTTTAATGAGAACACATCCTCTTGGTATCATATGCCTTGCCTTTAGCTTGGAAAAAACCTTCCAGATTGCTACCGATTTTTCTCTAATTACTCATGCGGATCCGCGATGCATTCTGGCATGTTGCATTTCCACCGGGCTGATTCGTGGGATATTAAGAGGAGAAATATTGGACGAAAAGGGCTTGGATACTCTTCTAGAGGACGCCTATACGTGGGTCGACTCATGGGTCCGGGACGTTCGGCTGCCCAAGGATGACGCACAAAAGGAGACTGACAGTGACATATACGAGCCTGACGCTCGGGAGTTCCTTGACAGAGAAGAGTTTGACCAGCATGCCTACGCAAAGACCTTTTCTGATCTACTCCTTGACGCTTCATACAAAATCGGGTACGTGTATAAGTGCCTGGGAACAGCAATATTGAGTCTTCGAATGGGCATGCAAAAATCACCCCATGGCAGTACTCCAGGAACTGGATCACCTCCCCCTCTCACCAATTCAGCTATTTTCGAGAACATTATCACAGAGCTTACATATGAGGCAGGGGACGCAGATACCAATGCATGTGCTGCTGGTGCACTTCTTGGGTCCTGGCTTGGGTATAACTCTCTTCCCTCTCACTGGAGAGATGGTATGGATAACAATGACTGGCTGATGCAAAAGTGTAACTCCCTCATCCAGGTTATAGGGGTTGGAGATGACGGTGCTACACCATATGATGGGAAATTAGATGCTGATACCTCGCCTGATGGGGGTAAAGGGCTAATGAATAAAGAAGAGCTGGAGAAAAGGGATAGCGACATGATAGTTAAATACATGACTCGCCATGCAGAAGGAGTTGCGGAGGAGAAAGCTCGACTAAAGGCGGAGGAAAAGCAGAAGAAAGGATGGAAAAGTTTCTTGGGGTAAATGTATAGTTATATGGGGCGCTGGGTATTCACATGGTGGTCTATCCTACATGTCTCTTCAGATATGTTGATTCCAGCATCGTCGCCCCTAGACTGCAGGGGTCGTTGACAACTGTGGTTGAGGAGATAATTTGAGGGATAATACCATCTTTTTCTAGCTCCGATGTCAATTCAGAACGGTATGCATCATTTTTTCCTGCAAGCAGTCCACCGCCTAATATCAGATTGCAATTTCCAGAACCAGCTGCCTGTGGTAGGAGAGGTTTCAGCATGCGAATTAGGCCTCGGATTCCCTGGCTGATGATATCGTGGGCTTCACTGCCAGCTTTGGCATCATCAGCTGATTGCTGATCCTGTTGGGGAGGCTTAAAGACGTCCAATACTAGCCTCGCCACACTAGCGATCTTGTTTTTGGGGTAGCGATTTTCGGGACAAGTATTTGTCAATATAGCACTGAGCAGATCGTAGTTATTATTGGTGTCTTGCAAGATACCAAAATGATCGAGAATCTTTTGACAAAATGGGCTTAGCATCTCTTCGATGTTTTCCAAGGAAGGCTCCCCATTTGAGGAATGACGCAGGATATCAAGAGCAAAGAGCGTAGATCGTATGGCAGATCGACCTAGGTCAAAGCCAGACCCATCGTCACCAAGTAAATGGCCCCATCCGCCAGAACTCCCACTCGGGACCAGTTCCCCGGTCGATCCGTCATGGTGATACTTCACTGCAACGCTTCCAGTCCCGGCAATGAGGACGATGTTGGTTGCAGGACGATGGACCACTGTGTCATGGTGAAGTGAAGGTGCCGATGCCAGTACTTGAATGTCATTAGATACTTTTAGAACTCCATTCTTGGCCAATCGGAATATGGATGACAACTTCGAGTCAAGCGCTGATTTCATTTGAGGCCGATCATATCCAGCAACTCCAATCCAAATTGCTTCGAATTCGACATTTTGCAGGTTCAAAATTTGATACTTCAGTTGCAAAAGGGAAGACAGATTGTCAAGAGCTCTTTCTGCGGCAAGCTTGATCGCTAAGACTGCAAAATCTAGGGGAAGTTCGGATCTGAAAAGAGTCATTAGTCAATAGTTATTCTGACACATATTGGAAATCTCGAGCATACACGTTAGAAGGTCCTCCCTCACCCTCGCCCTTCTGCGATAGCGAATTGACAACGATTGCGCGACATTTTGTACCTCCCCCATCTATATATAGAATGTATCTTTGGGATGAAGTGGTAGACTGGCTGATTTCAACAGCATTGGAACCATGTTTATCCACTGCAGATATCGAATCGATGGGCAATATCGCAGAAAGTTTACCACCTGAAGCGTCCAGCTTCGTTTTTGCATATTCGGGAGTCGAATTTAGGGCAAGAGTTGCAAGGCTAAGCTTAACGCTACCATCACACTTGTGAAGCAACGCATCTATTTCTTGATCTGTGGATGGGCATGCTGAGCCACTGAGCTTTCGGATGATATTTCTTGACCTCTGTTGAAGCTTCAAATTTGAAGTCTTAACATCAACCATCTATGAAAAAAAATTAGATCCCAGTAAGGGAAAAAATTAAAATGAAAACAATATGCGCATACCATGTTGCCATATGATTTTCCAATCTTAATCATGATTCCAGTACTCAGCATATTTAGCACTAGTTTGGTAGCTGTGCCAGCTTTCATTCTAGTGCTCCCAGTTATGACTTCAGGCCCAGTGACCGGAGTTATCATATAGTCCACTAGCCCGGAAGCACTCATTGTTGAGGGATCTGAACATGCAATGCCAATAGTAACGCACCCAAGACTCTTCGCATACTCTAGGCAAGATAGCACATAAGGGGTGCGGCCTGAAGCAGCAATTCCGATCAACGAGTCAAGCTCTGGTTTAAGATCCAAGTTTTGCAGATCTCGTTTACCACCATTATGGTCGTCTTCTGCGCCTTCTTGGGCCTTTCGCATTGCCGCGTCTCCACCAGCCATAAGGGCAACAAATTGCCCAAACGGAGCAGAGAACGTCGGGGGTATTTCCGATGCATCAACCACCCCAAGTCTATCTCGATTGAATCTAGAATTAGTTGTGCTGGATGATCCGAACGGATATGGGTTTGACTCGATAGCCATCTCACCTTCCACTTGTGCCTGCTCCAACATATACAACCCGTCCACCTTGAGATACCCGAGGTGCCAATGCATCAATTGCAGCAGCTATTGTTGGTATATGAGAGCTAACCACGCTAGGAACCGTAGCATCTTCACTATTTATCAGATGACAGAGTTGGACTGTTGAGACACGGTCTATGTTTGTCGTCCGAGGGTTTGACCCTTCTGTCTGCAGGGTGGACAGGTCAATAAAGGAACCCATAACGTCACGCTGAACTCGTTAATACAGTCCTGGTAGCTAATTCGCTTGCTGCCGATATACACTGTCGATATTCACTTTCAGGGTCTCGCTTTGAAAAGATGAAGGGCATTTATCTTAGGAGACGTAGCTAATATATCACTAGGCCGGGAGGGGGCTCCAAACCCGAAGTCACATCTCGAGCCAAAATGACCCACTCCATGTTTCCCGAGCCTGGAGACCATGGATGACCCGAGCTTTGAGGTTTGGAGAAGTTCATCGTTGCAGTTGCATTTATCTAGCAATTGTCTCATCAGTGGTTCTCGAAGCCAGCTAACTTGGCTGCCCACCCGGTAACTAATAAATAGCTAGCCGAGCATAGATTCTTTGGACTGGTAATGCAGCTTTTTGCACTTCGAGATATTCATAATTTATCTTCATCTCTCTATCTCTTCTTGCTTATCGGGTTGGAGAGGTGAATCAAATTTTACAAAGTAAATTGGTCGATATATTAGAGCCAGTTAGAGTTAACTACACGTGATCTCGCCCAAAGAGGCAACTCCCAACGTCCTATTTTATTCTTTGCCTGCAGAGATTCAAAGCTGATTGAATATTTCGATACCACCGACTTTTCACCTCAAGGACTATTGATGACAGTGTGGTGTTGAGCTGCACCTGGGAGTCCTGATTTTGTCTTTTGCCTCCCGCAGAGAAGAAACGGGCTCACTGGTCGAGAATACGAGGAACATACAGTAACTCCCACATCGGACTCTGTTCGACCGAGAAGGATCTGGAGAGCCGAGATGCGACGCTGGTCCACTGGCAGTTCACAGGTGAGACTGCCGGTGCTCGCTGTGAAAAATGCATAGAGACTGGCTAGAAAGCTGGGGATGGCTAGATTTGTATTATAAAAAAAATAAGGCAAAGGATCAGGAGGTTGTACAAGCCCCAGCCTTGCTGATATCTCCAACGACTGAGAATTCGTTGCCTCAAATCCAGAGTAAGACACAGCAATAAAGTGTCTTACTTACCCCGGATCTAACGTCCGGGATGTTGCAGTTGAATACAACCTTCTGCTGCACCTGGAAGCGACCATGAGACTTTCCCCATGCCTTGAGCCAGGGGCTATTTTAAGAGAAAGCTTGGATCCTTTGACATGGCGCACCCTTATTTAAGAGCGTGTTCTGGTCGCCATTTCTATTACAAAGGGCTTTTTCATAAGGAATATCCTCGATCTGGCTAATAACTTCTTAGTGATCTCAAGGTGGGACGAAGAGAGTGGCAGAAGATAGGGGAACATGGCAAACTCCGTGCCTGCAAAATCTCAGGCAGGACAGATGGAAAGCGGTGGTTCCGAAAGTCCCAAGTCATCTAAATGGATGGACATCTATAGCCATGCATGGTTCCAAGTGTTATTGATCAGTTTCATCTGTTTTTGCTGCCCTGGTGTAAGCTATGCCCCTTTCCATTCGCAATATGTGCAACCGCTAAAGCACTCGATATAGATGTACAATGCTCTCACCGGACTTGGAGGGTCTGGCCAGGTAGACGCAACCGTTGCTGCCAATGCAAATGTTGCACTGCTTTCTGCCACAGCAGCTACTGCCCTGTTCTTCGTTGGACCGATATTCTCGGTTGTTGGCCCACGAGCTTGCTGGCTAGTGGGTGGGTGGACATATGCCCTATACAGTGCGAGCTTGTTGAACTTCAACAGTAAGTCCTACATTACATTTCCCTTCCCGTGAAATGATATAGATCATATAACTAAGAGCACACCAGTACGACACAACGGCGCATTCGTGATTGCTGCTGGAGGGATTCTTGGTGTTGGTGCCTCATTTCTATGGGTTACCCAGGGCGCAATAATGACCACCTATGTACCCGAGTCGCAAAAGGGACGAGCCATCGCTGTATTTTGGATCATTTTCAATCTGGGCGGCATGATCGGTTCCCTGGCCAGCTTTGGGCTGAATTTCAACTCCAAAGAAGGCTCGGTGTCGAATAGTACATACATCGCAACTATGGTGATCATGATATTCGGATGGGTTATCGGCGTCTTCATCTGTCCCCCATCGCGCATCAAGTTGCTGCAACTACACGAGGCCGAGACCAGCGTCGTTCACCAATCAATTGGAAAGAGGCTATATACTATCCTTCAATCACTTCTACAGATCCGGGTACTATGCGTTCTTCCGCTCTTCTTCTGCGCAAACGTGTTCTACTCGTACCAGCAGAACAATGTCAATGGTACAACGTTCAACATTTGCTCCCGATCGCTTAACTCGGCTATATATTGGATGGCACAGATGTTTGGTGGCCTATTTATGGGCTACCTTCTGGACTTTGCCTATTTCAATCGCCGGCAACGTGCATGGCTCGGCTGGGCTACACTTCTGGTGACTGGTATGGTAATCTGGGGCGGTGGACTTGCCTTCCAGCGCTGGGAGGATGAGCGACTTGCAAACGGCATGAAGCAGGACATTGATTACGCCCGTGACGCCAAGATCGCTACTGGCCCTATCTGGTTGTACTTCTTCTACGGAGCATACGATGCTTTATGGCAGGGGTACTGCTACTGGTTGATTGGTACTATGTCGAACTCAGCGGCCGTGGCAGCTGTGTTGGTAGGTGCGTATAAAACATTCCAGGCTGCCGGAGGAGCAATGGCTTGGAGAGTCAATGCCCTCGGTGCGGCCCCGTTGACACAGTTTGCGATGGATTGGGGGCTTTGTATCGGGGCATTGGTGCTGGCTATCCCTTCCGTTTGGATGGTTACATTGACCAGTGTTGATGAGGAGGGTACAATGGCTGAAGGGAAGAAGGTTGACGAAAGCGATGATAAGTAGATATGATATGAATCATGATCAAAGCTAGGTATTGATTAATACTGTATATAGTAATGCATATATTAAATGAATTAAAAAGTCTAGTAAGTGTCCATCCTATAATAACTTCGCAGCTAAGTGGCAACTGATAGCAAGTGGTACGAGTCTAATCAATAACAAGACATTCCATGCAGATCTTGAAACGGACAAGCACAACTTGGAAGCAGAATGGGGGCAAAACAAAACAGCAGTAACATGAGGTATCTTAATGAACATATGCCCATAATAGCATTAACCTACCACAAATTAAGCATCTTGAGAATGTCGTGACGATGGAAAAACGAGCGGTTACGTTTGCCGAAGATATCTATGAATTATCCTAGTTAGGAAATGGGATATAGTAAAAAAAGGGGGGGCGAAAGTTGGGGTTTCTTACACATTGGTACACTGAGCAAACAGACAGCTACTTCGATGCCGCCAATGATAAGGAAGACCCTCTTGGCTCCGCCTAGAACCACCCAGTTGTATGCAAAGTAAGTGAGCAAGAAACTGAACATGTTCTTGAACACAAGCAAACAAGTGAATGACTCGATGGCAATTTCACCTGTCGGACGTAATTAGCCAACAATTCACGGATACGAAAGATATGGCCAATGGGAGGCAACTTACGATGAGCATCAACAATGTAAAGGGCGCTGGCTACAGCTCCCATAACCATGCCGATAAGAACAAACATGAAGAAGACATCTGGTATCACCCATCCGTACTTGGACACGTTTCCAGAAGCAAACCCGAAGCCGAACAGGCCAATGCCACTGAATACCAGCTGAGGTAGGACGAGCCAGATACGGAATTCGGGCTCATATTTGCCCTTGTTGGCGCGGATGAGTAGGTTGGCAGACCAGTCCGAGAAGAGGCCTGACAGGAAAAGGCCGACGACGGATCCTATGAAGGCGCCTGTGTAGAGATAACCGGTCTGTTCCTCTGTGAACCAGAGTGGTGGCCCGAGGAAGATTGCAGCGAGGACTACGCCAATGAAGACTGTCCAGCCAATGATGACGCCTTGAATAAGGCACGCCTGCAGAAGCTAGTTAGCAAGCGCGCAAATTGGTCAAAAGGAATAATAGGTAACCAGTAATGAGAAATGAGGGGTGAAAAAAGAAAAAAGAAAGCAAGCTTACCCATGCAATACTGGGGTGCAAGAAGAGAGGGAATGGCCGTAGGAGAAGCTTCCAAAAGCTCTCATCTGTCTTGCGGCCATTGAAGAGAGCCAGTGATTCGACGAATGTAACCTTCCGTGGTACATCTCGTTGTGCGGTATCACTGTTGGCAGCCACTGCAGCTGAGCTGGGTCCAGCAGCGGAGTCGGCATCTGCTTCTTTCTCAATAGTTTCTCGAGCGGCAGCTCTGGCGGTGCGCCGATCGACGTCCCCTGAAAAGTCGGTATTGAGGTGTTGAGCACGCTTATACGCAGTTTCGGGAACAAAGAAGTAGACGAATGGCAGACAGACGCCAGAAAAGATCGCAATGAAGTAGAAAGTCCATTCCCAGCCCAAGGTATGGGTCATTTTCCCAGCTATGACGGGGGTGAGAAATGCGCCTCCGAAAAGCGCAACGTTGGAGAGGGCCATGCGTTTTCCGCGCTCCTAGTTATTTTCGCGCGTTAGGAAGATAGAATAAAAATGAAGAAAGGAAGGAAGTTTGGAATCGAATGAAACGTACATGGACGAAGAAGAGGTCGCCAACGACGGCATTGACGAGAGCTTCGAACGGAGCGAGACCGACTCCCTGGAATATTCTTGCCCAGATCAGGCTGGTATGGTTGCGCTTGCTGAGGCCAGCCCAGATGCAGGAGATGACGATGATGAGATTTCCGAGTAAGAAAAGATGTCGCTTCCCCCATACTCTAGCGGTCGGTACTATTATGATACCGGCGACCCCGACTCCGCAGAGATGGTATCCGGTCAAGAGAGCTGCCTGGGTGAAATCAATGGTGTAATTGAGTGCGATTGTAACCGTGTTTGCGGCCATGATGGAGGAAGTGGTAGCGCATATCACCGACGTGATGGAGAGAATGACCAGAATGAGGTCTCGTTTCCATAGCGGCCAATTCTGCAGCTCGTCAGTATTCTATTCTCTCGTTCAACCTGTGCTGGTGGTGAATATGGTGTTTTCTCACCAGGGGATCGTTAGGGTCGTCACTCGGCTGCGGAACGAGAATGATAGGGACAGCGCCCGATTTGTCGTATTTCAGGTGCGATTCTTCGGGAACAGGCGTCTCGACGGAGCTCCCATCGTCGTCAAGCACGTATGTTGTCCCTATATCAAGTCAATATCACTCCATATCCCGCATCGCCCCCCCTGGGACACTCTTTAAGTCGATTCTTTCTTTCTTTCTTTCTTTTTCCCCTTGCGTGCTTTCGGTTTCATGTGAGGAACTAACCAGGGACATTGTCGAGCTTCGAGTCTTCGAGGATGCCCAACGCCATGGTGGCAGAGAAGGAGACAGAGACGGTCTGTCCTGGTTGAACGGGAGAAGCAGCTGCCGCCAGTCGTGTATGTCTGCGTCTCTCACCCGATCTTTAAAAAAAGAAGAGAGTGGATAGCGATCAAAGGGTCCTCCTCAGTTATCCCCCGGCCTGGTTCACCAGACAGGCCACAGACTGTGACCAGCTAAAAAGTCAAAGCCGACCCGGCCACGCCACCGAAATGGGACTAAAGTATGCGCGATGCAAGGATTGCCCCAGATCAGGACCCAAAGATCCTAACTGTTACATCCATCCGACCCTCTCGTTTCCTCTCTTGCAGGTGATGCGACGACGATTGTTTGTTACCCGCTGCCGTGCAGGTTTGCTGCTTGCTGATGGGGTGGAGGGACAAGAGTGATAGTCCTCTGCCCGCCCGCCGGTCACCCAAGCCTGAATAATTCGTATTTCAATCCCAGCTGGCTGCTCGCGGCCTAACTTCCTAGCAGCTTCGAGACGACGAGACGGCTCTTCTGCCTGTAGCTATAGATGCGTGAGACACAGCCAGCTCTCTCTCTCTCCAGAGGCACGCAAGGACTCCGTACCTGTGTTAAGACCGCCCGTAGCAGCGCAATCAAGATGACACCCGTAGAATAGCTGGGCAATTAATCCTCCGGGCCCCTGAACTGGCTCTTCTCGCCCCGTGGTCAAGCTGCTAAGGCCATGGATCAGGGGGAAGTTCGTGTGCTTTTTTTCTTCGCCTGTGCCTGGCTGGTGGTTGTTCTTTTTTCGCCTGTCGTCTCGTTTAGCTGCGTCCGCCAACTCTATATAATAAACCAACGACGTCGACCGCTGCCGCTTTCGTCTCGTCCGCAACCTCACCTCCTCCGGCACCGCCAGCACCGCCAGCACCGCCAGCATCCAGCATCCTCCCCCCAAAGGCCCTACGCTCTACGCTGCCAGAAGGACGTCCGCCATGAAGCTCTCTGCCGTCGCTCTCGCTGCTCTCGTGTCTGTCGCCGCTGCTCAGGGCGTCAGCGAGCTCCCCAAGTGCGCCGTACGTCTTTCTCCGCCAGCATGAACCGGCATGAACCAAAGCATGCACACGCATCCCAGCACTCCGTTTCACCGTCAGCTAACGCTTCCTAATAGCAAGATTGCGCCAGCAAAGGCTTTCCCTCTAGCTGCGGCGCCGATGTCAAGTGTGTCTGCACCAGCAACGCCTTCCTCGATGCCATCACCTGCTGCGTGGCTACGACCTGCAATGCTGAGGAGCAGAAGAGTACGTCTTTTCATTTCATCTGTCTTGTTGCATGGTGCTGCGGCTGGCTGGCTAGTTGCCGAAGCTAGCGAGCGATATGCTGCTGCATGAGCTATAGGATGACCGGGGAACGCTGCTAACTGAACTGCCGGGGTACTCAGAGACCATCCAGTTCGCTAAAGGAATCTGCGGCGGTGTAGGCGTCAACGTCCCTGACTCTGCCGTCTGCCCAACCGGTGGCTCTTCGTCTGGCTCTGCTTCGAGCACTCCAACCTCGTCCGGAGGCAGCTCTTCTGAAACTGGCTCTGTCACCGGCACCGCCATCACCGGAACCAACTCTCCCACCCCTACCAGCCGCTCATCTGGATCTTCCACCCATGCCACCCAGTCTTCTGGATCTGGTGCTCCCGCTACCTCGACCGGTGCTCCCACTCATACCGGAAACGCTGCTACCTCGGTCAACGCCAATGGTGGTCTCCTTGCTGCCATTGCTGCTCTCGTTATCGCAGTGGCGTAGTCTTTCGGATCTTCCGAATAATTAATCACCCCATACATCTCACCTCCTTACCGAATATGCCAGTTCGCGCGTGAAGCGCAGAAACTCAGCCAGTCATATATATCCTTTATCCGAGGAAATCAAAGTATGAGGTAATTACAGATACAGAATGGAGAACTCGAGAAAATGAAGTTGTTCCTCGTTCAAGCAGTACGTGTGCCTGTGCGTGTGTGCCTCTGTGTCTATGTGCGAGCTGTTCTCCTTGTTCGCTCCATGTCTCCTTTGTCCACCGCTTTCAATGCAATATCTTATATCCTGCAATATAGTCTTATGTAATTTGCTCTCCTTCATTTGCTTTGCTTTTTCTTCTTTTTACTCGACGAGTGACAAGAAGAAACCGATCCTAGTTTGTTATATTACGAAATATCCTAAACTTATTAAATATGCCCATCCCTGATACGCTCTCCTTGCCGTCGTCATCCCACCGTCATCATGCAGCGGACCCGGTCAAATGGAAGTATAAAGCCAGCATCCCCGCATCTTGATCTCGGGTATCCGTTACCGTTGTCAATAAGACAGCTGTTCATGCAGCTCGTGTGCAGTTTCCCCACAAACGCAGCTGTCGTCTCGTAGACATGACATCTACATCGAGTCTCCATCGCAGATTGCCTCAGTCTATGCAGATGAAGGTTTCCGGAGGCTTCGCTGCTCGAGCTTCAACATTAGACTGAAGCAGAGCTTCAAATGACCGTAGGCTAAGGTCCTTGTCGAAGATGGCCATATCGGTGCCTTTCTTCATCTGTATCAATATGCTGACGGCAGCAAGACGAGCAACCCAGTTCCCCTGGGCTCGGAATATGCCCACTCCCAGCGGGGGATCAAGTAGCTCCTCCCAGCTATCGATAGACGTATACTCATACATAAGCATGGCATTCTCGTCGTCTTCATCGTCTCCATCGTCTTCTAGGCTCGGGCAATCAAGTCCATTCCCGAACAGCATCTCGCTCTTGTTGATACCGAGTATATCAAGATCGGCCACCCATTCTCCTCGGTCTCGCACCGAGATGACAGACTCAACCAGGAAGACATCCTGGTCGATGGTCTGGCTGTCTGCCGTAGCTAGTGGCAGAGTCCACTCAGTAAACGAGAGATGTAGTGAAGTGCCGTTGAAGTTGTTCTCCCGTTTCCTGTCGTAGGGCGCATGGTTGACAATACAGTAATCATCCTTGGGCTCACGGATCTGCGGGTTGCGAGGAGCAACTAGCATTGATATTCCTCTCTTTCCAATATTGCCCACCAATCGTCTTATCTCATAATCCTCCACCTTTTCCAGAGGGTCAGATAGTACCATGGCTGCTACAAAAATCGAGTTCTGGCTACACATTGCCAATGTACTGTCTAGGTCGCTTGGTCTGATATCCGCCTGTCCCGAATCAAAGTGGGCAATACAGGCAAAGGCCTCTTGTCTGCTGGGGGCCTGTGGACGAGTTTTCCGGGCCTTGGATCTCATTGAGGAGCTGGGAGCGTCTAAAACCCAGCTGGAATCGCATAGAGGTTGGGATATTATGCGCAATTGTACGGTCAACCCTTCCAATTTGCTGTATATAAGCGTTGCGAGGTACAAGGCTTGCAGAGCAGCAGAGGTGTGAGAGGAGACAATCCTAGAATTGCTCAGGATAAACAAATCCGTACCAGCCACGGGCTTTTTCGGATGGGTCATATTTAGATACTCGTTCATCTTCGCCAGTTGTATCGGGTGTCTGCAAAGCTGCTGGACGGCCTGTTTGGGGGATATAGCGCCACATTTGACAAACTTATCATGCTGGCTCCGGGAGTTAGGTGTGTCTCTAACGAACAGGGCAAAGCGTCGGCTTCCATATACATTGATGAATCCAGAATAAGCTTGCCCGGTCGTTGAAATGAACGTATTTGGGAGCTCCAGCTCGAAGCAGCTGCATGTGCTTGCGGGCTCATCAGCTACCAAACACGCCATGTCTGATATGGCTGCTGGTCCCCGGGCAGGTCCTTGACCTTCCCCACAGCGGAAGAGCGGCGGAGGATTGTGCCACTTCACAGAAAGGAGTTCGCTGTCGGTTGTAGTCTGCCCATGTTTGGTGAAAAAGCAGCGTTCGTTGGTTGTAGGGTCTAGGTTGATGCGCTTGACGCGGCTGTTGATCTCCTTTTCTACCTTTTCAGCGCTCTCCCTGCTATCAGAGCATATGGAGTACCATTTGGCATGCATCTCATTGTATATCTCTTCCCCTTCTGCGCTTCTCTTGCCGGAAGCCTTTATCCACAGAGGCGCTGCCGTAGCGTATTCAAAATAATGCGGTTTTCCGCTTTTCCAGCCCCGTCCTACCCAGTGGGCCTGGACAATCAGACAGTCGCTACTTGCATAGCCCATCGACTGCGCGAGTCCTCTCAAGTATGTAAGGTCACAGTCGTCGCCAGAAAGTGCCGAGAGGAGAAGCTGGTTGCAGAGACCAAAGTAAGGCGGAATTTTATCTTCGTCCCGTCGAAGGAACTTTGTTGCTCTCCGCTGACCGTATCTGAGAAGCCTGGTATTTTCTTCCTTCTCTTCTTCCTTAGATGAGCTAAGTTTCTTGCAAGCATGTATAATAGGATTAATCCACCGTTCCGGTTTTCGGATATGTAGCTCTGGCTGTTCTTCGGAGGCGGAGGAATTCAGAATGTCGCCAATGCAGCAGAATAGCTGAATAGTGTCTTCCACATCTTTTGAACCAACGCCCCAGTGGCCAAGAAGACCTCCAAAGGCAACAATGCATAGCTGGGATATAGTCACTCGAGAATTATCCTTCGGGCCCATAACTTTAGTAGCACTTCCATAATACTGCAGATGGGACAGGGCCAACGACCACCGCACGCCTTCTACTGCCTCATCCGACTCCTCAAGACCAATTGTGCAGATACCAGTGCTGGGGAATAAGGGGTCTTTGAACTTCACATTCACCGTTTCGTTCCTTAGAACAATCATATCTGGGTATAGATGCCAGGATGACATGGCCAATACTACCCCGGCATCCAGTATCGACTGAGGACGACCGCATAGCAGGTCCTCGACAGCCAGCATCGCCCGTTTCCAAGTCGAAATCACTTGTTCATACGTGGATGAGCCTCCGAGAAACGGCATCCTTATATTTTTCGATATGAGTAGCAGCTGGTCGTGGTCACGCTGCTTTGCTTGATCAGCACTGCGTAGCCAGGAGCGTGAGCTTGCATCCCACAGCGCAATATCATGTCTGGCAATTGGCTGGAGAGAGCTCATGGCACTGGCTGCAGAGACAGGGACGTTTCTCTCGAACGCACTCTGGATTTCCCGCTTCCTCTCCTCGATCAGCTCAACCCAGATCGATATCGCTTCTCTGGAATCCCATGCCCGCGCAAGCAGGCAGGAGAGAAGATATATGCCCAGTGCAGCGACACCAGATGTCGCGGCTGCCCATACTGCTGTCCCGTCTGCCCCTACATATTCCTTAAACGGGCCATGAGCTCGAGAGCCAGTAGGGTTGACACCAGGAGACTCAATGATTTCAGAGACTCTTGTACCGTAAGCGGAGATGAGCCTTGGAGTAGACGGGATTAGGGGTTCGAACAATGCTGCCAGCCGTCGAGCTATCTGGTGCTGTGGGCCATACTCGGCTTCATCTCGTCTCCTGAGTGTCAGGGCGGATCCTAGCGGCTTGAATTCGAGAGGCGCTTCGACTTTGACAAGGGAGAAGTCAAACCTGAGATTCGCCAGGGATGCATTATTTTCGTTAGAGGCTGAGAGAATGGAACCTTTGAAGGAACTAAGAAGAGACATTAGCAGTAGAGGTCGACGTATAAATATGAGGGAGTATCAGGAAGATCCGGCTGCTGGTGCTGAAAGCATGCAGGAAGAGCCATACATGTCTGTGTGTTAGTTGAATACAGGACAGGAGATGCCAGTTGAGAACGAGGCTGGGCTGAGAAATTTACGTGTTTCACGCAGCCTGCAACCCAGTGGTTACCTCGCATTCGGGATAAGAAAAGACCAAGAAGCAGCTCCTTGTCAAACTAGCTGTATGTATGTAGCAATTTTGAACCCTGGTTTATGTCCTCGTCTATTAGTGTATGTATATGTGCTAAACAATCATAAGTTAAACCTCAAGACAGAACCCATCGCTATGAAACGCAGCAAACACAGGAAAAGAAGATGGTAAAAAAAGGAGACCAGATGGGGAGGGATATCATTTTATGAGAAAACATGGGTAGGGAGCGTATCGGTAGTGTCATGCCATCACATATCAGCAATGATATCAGCACCTACGCCTATGCCGACAGCGCGAAGTTGGTTCTCAGCTTGTTTCTTCTCATGACGGAGTGCAAATAGTATCTATCATGCATTAGATCCAGTTCAGTTCGGAGGCAGGAATGGCAGTATAATCGAGAATCACTCACCCAGCATGAGAACATCAGTTCTAGTACCCCGTAGCCGAGCACAATCTTCCTCTTGAGATCAATCACGTCATATCCCAATGCAGATCCGGACAAAGCAGCTGCAGTGCTGGGTCCGTCTCGGGTAAAATGCATGTTCTGGTCCAGCCATAAGATGGTCTTTCCGGCCGCGGATTGAAAGGGAGTTGCCATGGTGTTAGCAGCTAGAGTGCTTGTAGCCGGCATTCCGGCTACCGTGGCTGTTGACGGTAAGGCTGTAGATGCAGCACCCCATTCCATGTCAGAGGAGAGATAAATTTGCAACGACACGATCATAAATATCCATGACCGAAGGGTGATTAGGAGGATGCACAGCTGGCGGTAGAGGGAGGAGAATTCGGCAGTAATCTTCAGCGCAGCTTCATTGAGCTCGGTGGAGGTAGACGAGTCTGAGTCAGTGGAGGCCGTGGATGAAGTGGAAGAGCTTCGAGAAGCTGGTGGCCGGGTATATGGCAGTCTTGATCTTGATATTACCGGCGGAGGCAGAGCAGTAGAGGAGGACGAGGAGGACGACGCCCGAGACTGGAGAAGGAACTCTCTCTGCTGTCGTTCCTGCTGCTGCCGTAGCTGTTGGCGATGGATGAACTCGGCCACGGCCAGTACGTGGTTCAGCGTCGGCAGCTTGATGGCCAGCGTCAGGTCGAAGATAGCAAACGAGAGCAGCAGGATGCCGCAGTACGCAAACGGTGACCGCGGGAGATTGAACGGCTGGAGAATGTCCTAGAAACGCATCGTCAGCATATCATGGTCAATTCCAGCCCAGATGGCCCTGATAACTCCTTATGCTGCAGATATTTTGCATGTTGGGCTGACTTACAATCCTGAGCTTGTCCCGGACTTTGTACACCAACTCCGGCCCGCCAACGGACTCGCGAGCGAAGGTCAGGTAGACGGCCAGGACCACCTGGAACAGGGCATGCAGCCTGATATAGGTCTTGGACGATATCCGGCCCATCGTATCGCCTCTTCTCTGGGACCGCTGGCGCCGGCTGAT